TGAAATTAATCACGTTAAACTCCTAAATGGTCTATGTGGCTTTGAACTCCTAATAAGATTTTTAACCAAAACCCCTGAATTTATCTGCATGACCGTCAACCCCAGAAATTCCCTACATGACCTTGAACCTCTGATGTCTTCAGAATGACCTTAAACCTCTGATGTCGTCAGAATGAAATCACTGTATGGACTACATGACCTTGAAGTCTGTATGACCTTGAAAGTCAGGTGTGGTTGATGTGACCTTTAACTTAGGTTAGATGTATTTGACCTTATTTGACTATAGTCTATGTGACCTTGTGACATAATGGTCGACCTGAATCTCCTAGTATTAGCATATATGTGCAGCAAATGTCACCAGACTTAGTCTCATTATAAATTCTTGACTTTATGCTTAATAAGTATGTATCAATATTTTCATCTCTGTTTATGGGTCATAAACTTGAAAACTGCATATATCTGACACATTCTCTGCAATCCTGAATGTAATGTATCAGCTGTAGATTTAAAATGCATCAGAAAATATTTTTATTGAAATCTGTCCTATACAAATCAGGTGTATGTTTTAGAATCCTGGAATCTGTGTGTAATATGGGCATAATGTGTTGCATCTAAATTCTGTGAAAAATAGAGATGTATATTTGTATTTCTACTACATCGTCAAATCCCTGTAGATTTTTTTTCCAAAGCAAGCTTTTCTCTATATTTTTTCATGAAGACCTATCAGCACTGGAAAAAGACCACAACATTTTCACAAAATTGGGAAAATATGTATGGTAGTTCCAAACAACACCATTATAAGGAACAATACTACATTTTCGTGACTTTTTCAACCCATTAAGTAAGAAATGTTATAATATTACTAAGAGTTACTTCGAGTAAGTTTCCAGTACTAGTGGACTGTCTTTAGGCCCTTTCCACTGGACTCCATCGTCCGCTTTCAATCGGTGCTCTTAAGCTAATTTCTTGATCTTTCCAGCATTTATCAAGTTTATTCATAAATGAATTCAAGGATCGTATGTTTACCATCTACAATAGTGAACTATTCTAAATGTCCACCACTCTGACTGTAAAATAGTCTTTTAGATGTTAAGGTCTGTTGTGGGTTTATCTTAAATGAGCAGCCTCTATTCCAGTATCAGATTATTTCAAAGTTGGACAATAAATATTGTTAAGCATTTATCTATAAAAAAAATCCAATAGAAACATACAAAAATCTCTATTTACCCCAGAGTCCACAGGAACCAATCTTTTTTCTGACTATGGTGTTGTTTTTCTTTTCCGTCAATAAAAACATCAAAACCTTAACCACAAATCCGGTATCACAACACACTGACATCCTGTACCTTTGAGGGGCTTAACCTCTGACCCCTAAATCCCTGTGTGGGGCTGGTCAATCCCTGTTGTCCTATTCAATAACAGGAAGACGCTTTGGTGTCCCAGCTAGAAAGGTCACTCCCTAGGGGCTCTGATCAAACCCTGATAAGTTTCATCTCACAATTAAAGTCCCAGAAAAGAACAGGGAATCTCTCACTGTGAGTTAATGGAGACACTATACTTCAGGGTTAAACAAATATATTTGTTTTTGTCTGATCAGCAATTTCCTCCCATGCAGGTCAACTATAATGATCACTTTCACAAATGAGAAACAGCACAGTTAACACTTTTTGTATCCTCCCTCAATTCTGATTTACATGAAAAAATGTTAAGGTACCAAAACTGGAGTTTAACTATTTCACCCCTGCAGGCACATTTGAACTATTCCAGTTCATAGGTTGGAAGTCAGTTCATTATGAAATTTCAGGGGCGAATGAGTTAAAGTTTAATTTCAGTGCATTAAAAGTTTACCAGCAGACCCCTGTAGCTTAGGTTTGGTAATTATTAGCGCCATGCCTGGTAATAAGCCCACAATTTTTTTATTTCAGTTCAGCAGGAATACAAAAAAGGGCTATTTCATTGACCAATCCCCCCCCCCCCCCCCCCCCCCCCNACGACATTATACGGTAAAGTTCTAAAGCTAACTTATTGTAGGACATATACGGTAAAGTTCTATAGCTAACTTATTGTAGGACATTATACGGTAAAGTTCTATAGCTAACTTATTGTAGGACATATACGGTAAAGTTCTATAGCTAACTTATTGTAGGACATTATACGGTAAAGTTCTATAGCTAACTTATTGTAGGACATATACGGTAAAGTTCTATAGCTAACTTATTGTAGGACATTATACGGTAAAGTTCTATAGCTAACTTATTGTAGGACATATACGGTAAAGTTCTATAGCTAACTTATTGTAGGACATTATACGGTAAAGTTCTATAGCTAACTTATTGTAGGACATATACGGTAAAGTTCTATAGCTAACTTATTGTAGGACATTATACGGTAAAGTTCTATAGCTAACTTATTGTAGGACATATACGGTAAAGTTCTATAGCTAACTTATTGTAGGACATTATACGGTAAAGTTCTATAGCTAACTTATTGTAGGACATATACGGTAAAGTTCTATAGCTAACTTATTGTAGGACATTATACGGTAAAGTTCTATAGCTAACTTATTGTAGGACATATACGGTAAAGTTCTATAGCTAACTTATTGTAGGACATTATACGGTAAAGTTCTATAGCTAACTTATTGTAGGACATATACGGTAAAGTTCTATAGCTAACTGCCAAGATCCTGTTTTTAAGCCAAACCATCTATGAATAATCTGAATTCTTCCTAACAGACACACCTTTTTCTTTTCCATAAAGTACCTTGTACAATAATATATTATTCAGTAAGACGTTTATCAAATCTAATAACAAACTTCCTGACCAAGGTTTCAGAATCTGACAACAAAACCCTGTCTTACAACCACACAGAGATATCACTAAGATGATAATATCTTACTAGGTCACGTAAAAATAACCTATTTATAGACATAACGTGGAAAAAATACACCCTTTTCTCATGCTTAATGAGGTAGCAGTACATGTTATCAGATGATAAGATTTCATCAGTAAATAGCTTGCATGTTAAATGTCATTAAACATTGTATAATAACATTCCTTTGACACTTATTACAAACATCTTAAATCTGCTGAGTAATCTTACACTGAGCGTACGCATGAGATTTGAAGCCAGTCTTCAAAACACAAAGGATGCAGACAATTTTTTTTTTTTAACTTTCAGTGAAACCTTTACAGCAAATATTTTTTCAAACAAAGAATTTTATAAATTTCATCATCAAATTGATATTTAGCAATTTATCAGTATAAATTCTGGTACTGAAACTTTTAAATCTGGTACACAAGTTATTATTCTCATGGTAGATCATATCTGCTGTATAATAGGTTATTCATTACGAGATAAACACTCAATCATATCCCTGGTAACTCATCATATCCCTCACGGGTAACGTAGGTCTAGACCCAGCCCTATCCTTGTCTTTCACTCATCAACATCTACTTCAACAGACAAAGCTGAAATTTTGTTTTGCATTATTTTGTTTTGAGGGTGTTCATTTTATAGTGAATCAAATCATGGTGATCTAGATTTTCAACAAATCAACGACTAAAACCCCTTAGATATAACCTGATGGATGGTGTCTGTTTTCAAATACTGATTAAAGGGTTATTTTCATGGCAGTATTTGTATTTGTTTGCGCAGCACAAGCATATCAAATCAACGACAATTGTGCTGAACATTAATGAGAATTAATATCAAAACTACAAATTCAACACTGCCAAACTTGTGTTATACACATAAGGGTAAAAATAGCACCGACTGAAATTTAAAAAAATCCCAATATTGCCTGGTTTTTGTTTTATATCAATAAAACCTGATACAGTGGTCCTATTCATACTTAGTATAAGTACTAAAATAATGGAATTAACGAAATGTTCACTTACCTAAGGAACAGTGATTCTTTTCTGTGATGCTGCCTTCCATGGTCACCATGGTCTGGGTTTTGTTCCAGTTTGTAACAGAGCTGTGCTTCTTGTGTTCATTAAATGTTGAGTTTCCATGTAAAGCTTAGGATGTGTGTAATGGAAGCATAGGTTCGGGACCAACTCCATAAATTTCCTCTGAGTCTTTCGTAACGGTATTGATTGATGAGAGGTCTGCTGAGATTTGTGTCAGTAATGGAAGAGCAGCATTCCACGCAGAGGCAACAGGAGTTACTCCCCTTTCTTCACTTCTCCATTACTTAAATTGTGGGTGTTTGTGTATATATTTATGGGTGTCGTTTATTCTTTCCCTAAATATTTCTTAAGCATATTATCAACAATCAATGCTGATCTGGTATGTTTCAAAGAACATCTATGATGAAATCATCTTTATTCAAACATCTTTATTGTTTCTGGAACTAAGATTTGTTTTCTGTTAAGTGACCTATGGTCTGCCATCAGACCTTTTTATTGAAGTATTTGCTAATGTTTTAAATTTTCTAAAAAATGTTTCTATTCTTACCTTAAATCACAATTACGATAACAAGTTTTATTGTAGGGATTGAATTAATAAATTTAACAACATGTAACAGTTTCTTTAATATTTCAGAAAGAAAAAAATCTTTCTTCTGAAATCTTTCTGTTAGTTAGCTCATTTACCTCTGAAGTTTCATAATGAACTATTCCAACCTTTGAATTGGAAGGGTATAAATGTGTTTTCAGGGGTGAATGAGTTAAGCACTCTAAGACTGATGGCTTTGTGAAACAATAACTTGTGAACAAGTCCACAGTTGTCACTGAAATGACTTGATTTTTCTTTTTTTAGTTTGCTATGAAACTTATCAGAATTTGATCACAGAATCTTAATTCTGTTTCCTTACCTCTTTCTATAAATAGAAACATATATGACAAAGTAAGTGAAGACAACTCTCTATATCATAATAAAAAACAGATATTTTTGGTGAAATGAAGGGAGATAACTCTTTTTATCCAATATGGCTGATAAAAAAGGGAGACAACTCTATTAAACGTGTCTAACATTAAAGGTAGATAACTCTTACCTGTTCAGCTCCTTCTGGGTCCTGTAAGCCATGGCTAGTTCGTTGTCCTCGTTGACAATACTGTCTATCCCGCCGTACGATTGCTTGGCAATCTCATGCGTAGTAATACTGCGTTCAGCCATCATGGCACGTAGCTGAAGACACTCTTCACGGCGACGCTCCAACTCATCTGTCATCGCTTCAAATTGCTCTGTGAGAATTCGTCAAATAACAATTAGAGACAGTGAGTAAAATATGTTGGGACAATTTGGCAATCTCAAGCAATAAATTATTATTAAATCTGTTTCAACTTTTATGACACTGACTTTGTTGGTGATAACTCAATTAGTATTTTTGAAATTACTGGGAAAAACAGCATGTCAATTTATTATTCATATCATTGTAGTTTTTTTAAATTGTTGTTTTATTTCCTTCAAAAGACATTTTTCATCCCTTTTTCTATATTTCTTCAAAATAATGAAGTATAAAAAAATTGTGACAACCTAAATTCGATTTTAGTAATTGGTGTCCGATTGCTATTGAACAAACTTTCTGTTCATAATCCACTTTGATGGTAACACTAACTACAGGCAAATAAATAGACAATTTCAGTGTAGGTCAAAATGATATAGAACCACTAAAATTAGGGCCACGCTTAGACAAACATTACAAACAGTGTAAAGGCTATGTACAGTTAGAGATAATTAATAAACGAATGTCTGATGATGTAAACAGAGGTGAGAAAATATGTATATATAAGAAATGCTATAGATTTCTACAATGGATATAGATATATATAGTGTATATAACACATTAATATTCTGGGGTCAAACTGTCATGCTTTTTAGTTCATAACTTTTGTTTCAGGTAGAAAATATCATAAGCCAAACATAAAACATCAATTAACTAATGTAATATACTATAGCAAATAAGTTATACTTAATGATATTATTATATCCAGACTTTCGTATATTGTTAGGCTTGTTATACAGTCATTACAGAATCTGGTATAAATCTTCAAGCCTTTTACAAGGTCCAAAATAAAACAATTTCAAGCATTTATTTGAAAAGGACTTTACAATTCCACTTGAAAAGTGCCCCTGCTTTCTTAGTTTAATTGTTTCAAAACTTTCTAAGAATGTCCAAGTACAAATTTCCAGAACTAGGTTCATTTTATAAATATCCAACTGTTTTCGTTACCAGTGTCCCTTGGTAACTTAATTTTGGCGCTGAATGCCATACTTTACAGTACCTGAAATCCTACTTACTTTGTAACACTTTGATTCGGTCTGTGTTTAAATCTTGTTCTAATGTTACAACAACACAAAGCCACCATAACCACACAGTCAGATCAGTCACCACGCCCACATTTAGGGGTCAAAGTTCACATCAAACAGAAAAGTTCACATCACGACCATGGGTCAGAGGTCATGGCAGCAACGGTTAGATTAGCATGCAGTTAGTAGTTGGACAGAACAGAAGACACAGACAGCAAAAGATATGAAAAGAAAAGTGAATACTACAGTATTATAGCCAGTAGACACCAACACAATTACACAAAAGAGAGTTATCTCCTCCTGTTTTGGGTATATGCTTCAATCTTGCTGAAAACTTTTTTAATATGCATTTTCCCATTATTGTTAATATTTATCCTTAATTGGCTGAAACATGAAATACCTTCCTTCCCCCCNTGTTTTAAAAATCCTACATTGGTTTAAATTTAGGCCTGTTATTTGATATCTTTGATTTAAAAGGGAAATAACTCTTCTTACTTTGGCAAATAAAAACAGAAATTAATATAAATTATAATTCATAACAAACAGTAGCTGAACTATAGTTTGTTAAAATATAAAATAAACAGCCTTCTATGTTACTGACAGTGTATGATCACACACATCATTACAGAAAGAAATATATATTTGAGAAAAGAAGAGAAAAAATACAACACACAGTAAATAGTTCCTTACCCAAGAACTCTTTGCCAGCAGGAGTCAGTTCCACGGTTTGATCAAAGTTTGTCGTTTCTGCGATGGAGGCCACCAGTTTTGATACTTCACGTTTTAATTTATCATTTTCATTTTCTAGCTCTTGCATCTGTAAAACGGGGAATTTTATTAAAACATGTATTCCACTTTTCAAAAGAAAACTTTGTCATTATTAATGTTCAATTAGTTGGGGTTTTTTTAAATATAAAGTACTTTTTCAAACACAGTCTGACAATTTTTTTGAATTAAAATGAATATTGCCAAAGGATAAGAACTTATTTTGATGAAGGAACTAAAATCAAAACAAAAGAAGTATTTTTGTTCAAATAAGATAAAATATAAATCAGCTTATCAGAAATATCTTTAAGACAATTGTATTTTATGAGCTTCAAAGAATGTCTTCTATCGTAAATAATTGTTTTACAGTTTTATGTGTGATAAATAAATGTAATTGCCACTGAAATTAAAACAGAAGATTAATTCATTAGTTATTTCCTCTATAATTACATTGGAACCTCAATTGTCTAAAATAAGAAACGAAAACAGATTTTGACCTTTCGGGCGTATGCTACCTTACTGCAATATGCATATCTCTTTGATGAATAAATTGATGATGAATCTAAGACGGTACTTAATTCATTCACTCCTGAAATTTCATAATGAACTATTCCAACCTTTGAATTGGAAGGGTTCAAATGTGTCTTCAGGGGTCAATGAGTTAAGAATACTAAAGCATTAATAATCAAATGCTTCTGAATAACTGATCTGATTAAGGGGAGGTAACTTTAATACAAAATTGAGGTCTAATCAGTAAGGTAGCATTATCGTAACAATTCGAGCCAGGAACCATATTACTGTAAAGAATATTTTCAAGAACAGTAATATATTTGCCAAAAAGGATCAATGAATTTCACAGTTAATAATTTTTTTTTAAAATAACATGTCACTAATCAAGAAAAAAAATAGTTATCCTAGATGCTTTTCAGAGAATACCAGACTTGATGAGGTTCCAGTGTAAATACAGTATGAAGAACATTCATTACAAACATTCAGCAGAGCATACAAGAGTTTTAGTGACACAGAAAGCACAGCCTCAGTATCAATGCTCCTAATAAATATAGATGTAGCGAAGCGTCAGTAGCCAAAATATTGTTTGCAAAACAGTGGAGGTTTCCCAAGATATTCCTCTCTTTATCTACTTTACAATTGAAATATATACAAACTGTCACATCTAAACTGACAATCATTACTTCCACCAAGTGCTTTCCAAAAAAAAGATCAAGTTTTAATTTAGGATCTCATTTAGATGCACATCAAGAGTTGCTCAAGTGCTGAAGGTCAAGCCTACTCCTACCTGTACACCAGGATACGGAGCCTGTCAATCGCTCTACACTTAACAGTCAACCAGGGCTGATATTTTATATTAATTCATAATTTTTTCTGTTTTTTGAAAGCTTGTAGCTGATAATTTCAGTACTTCTTTTAGAGTAATTCCAGATTAAGCATAAATTTAGACGGAAGGCATTTCCAGTGTCAGTTTTTTCCATGATACAATTTTCTTATGTGAAGTTTTAATTATCCTGGCATGTGTGTCACACTGAAGTTACCATAACAAACACATTCCTTCACCTATTATAATTGATATCTGGAAAAGTCTCACACAAGATGTTATTTCATCTCGTAACGTATTTGACTGAAAAAAACTTCTGGAAAGATCTTGAGTTGAAGTACGATCACTCAGGGACTTATATATATATATAGGCTTATTTTATGTTTACCACATTGTATTTCAAATGATATTGTTGTTGATGTAGAGGCAGCAATGCCTGTGTCCACTAACACCCTATCAAATCCTATTAAATTACTCATAAGGTTATTTATAACTTGTTTTCTACACAAGACAGTGAATTCTGTCTAATCTGACCCATGTGTGTTCTGACCTCCTGTTTAATCAAACATGATTGAATCCCAATTTTAATGAAAACTACAAAAAAAGACCAGACATCATCCTGTCGTAACCGACAAAATGTTGGATTCCAGATTGTCAGATTATACAGGTTTCACTATATTATTGTTTAAGTTGTTATTCAGGCACTAACAAGCTATAAAACATATCAACATACAAATACTAAATAAAAAATGTATAAACAGGTAAACATAAAATGATTATTTAAAATTAAATTCTAGCAAAGTTCACACACAGAAGAAACCAATACTTCTTTTCTAAACATACAAATATTTGTGGTATTAATTTTAGCACATCTTGCTACTGATCACAATTTAACATAATGAAATAATTTTGCAAATACCTAATTATCTTGTAAGGTTTTCATATAATTGGAAAAGATTATTGTCCTATCAAATCTCTAATTCTGTGGATTCTAAAACCCTGTCTTATCTGACATATATTTTGTGTCCCCATGTAGTGTCAGATTAGACAGGTTTCACTGTACATAACAATGAGAGTTTTATTTTATTTACTTATACATAAGTTGGGAATGATAGTTCATTCAAATACAAAGTAGCAGAGCTAATTAAGAAGTATAAGGGATTTCATTAATGTATCAGTAATTCAAAAAAATAAATCTGATAAATCACCAGAAAAAAACCTGGCAATTCAAAGGAACGATGAAATAGAAAAGAATGATTTATCAATGGTTAATGAAGGAAAGTAACTAGACATAAGTAACTTGTATGTAACTTCAACCTAATGTAAGGAATATAGAACAGGGTTTTGAAGTGTATAGATTTTGGAACATGCATTATCATGGGAATATATTAAAAATATTTAAAATATAAATTCAGAAATATTAGATAATGTTTATGATTGTACCATGTTAGTCCACTTCAATCAACTAGCTACATGTTATTTTAATAGAAAACAAACACCCAAGAGACCATGATATAATTTTAGGTTAGAATGGAAAACTACTACAAGTTTTCAGAATATTCCGTCTTTGCGTATTGCAGAGTTATCTTCTCTTGGAAGCAGGTATTGATTGTTACGTCACTTGTTTGTGAGAGTAACGTCATCAATTTTTGAGAAAACGACGTAATTTTCCCACACAAACCAATGACGTAACAATCAATACCTGCTCCCAAGAGAAGATAACTCTGCAATACGCAAAGACGGAATAGAACCTCAGAAATATTAGATAGCAATTAGAAAAGCAGATAGATATACTTCCACCAACTAGCTACAAGTTTACATAGCAAACAAGCTTCCCGGTAACCCTGATGTACCTTCAAATTATTATATGCGTATTCAGGAGTCATTATTTTGAAACTCATATTCTCGTCCTCTTCCTCGCGTTCATCTAATTCATCGACAAGCTTAGATTTTGCGTTTTCTAATTCCCTGATACGTTTTTGTAACTTAATGACAATTTCTACATCCTCCGCGTTCACCAGCTGTTTCTGTTGGCAAAGTTACAAAAAGGTCAACATTACACAAAGGTCAATTACCTTACAAAAGTTCAAGGTTGAGTTTTAAGAAACCAATCTCAATCCAAAATGTCCCTCCTCTTACATATTAAAAATATATTTTTGTATTACATGTATATTTTATTTTTTCAATCGTACTTGATTATTGCTAGAATTTCTAATCAGATATCTTGCTCAAAAATCTACATATATTATGATATGACTCCTATCAAAATAAAAACATATATGATATTTCTTTACTAGTTTATTTTGAAACACTGCAATAAAAACCCAAAATTTACTCCTGTATTTTTGTAACAACTACAACTAGAAAACAATAAAGACAATACAAAACAACATTAAAGTGACATTAAGAGTTGTATGACCTTGAATGCTGACACTAACCTTGAGAGCATCAAATGCAGAATCAGAGATAACAGCTGAGGATCGGTGTGCTGGACTCCCACCGTCCTCAAAGTTGTCCACTTTCTGCTGTAGGTTGTCCTTGTCCTTCTCCAGGTCCTTGATACGGCTCTGCAGCTTCAGGACAAGACCAATGTCCACGTCCTGTGATTATAAATAGTACATTGGCAGGGTTCATCAATCCTCATAAGGACCTCATAATCAGTTAATGGGGTCTATCAAACCTCATATAGACCTCATAATCAGTTGTTAATGGGGTCTATCAAACCTCATATAGACCTCATAATCAATTGTTAATGAGGTCTATCAAACCTCATATAGACCTCATAATCAGTTGTTAATGAGGTCTATGAATCCTCATAAGGACCTCATAATCTGTTGTTAATCGGGTCTATCAAACCTCATATAGACCTCATAATCAATTGTTAATGCGGTCTATCAAACCTCATATGGACCTCATAATCAGTTGTTAATGAGGTCTATCAATCCTCATATCCTCCTCATAATCAGTTGTTTATGAGGTCTATCAATCCTCATAAGGACCTCATAATCAGTTGTTAATGGTGTCTATCAAACCTCATTTAGACCTCATAATCAGTTGTTAATGGGGTCTATCAAACCTCATATAGACCTCATAATCAGTTGTTAATGAGGTTTATCAGTCCTCATAAGGACCTCATAATCAGTTGTTAATGGGGTCTATCAAACCTCATATAGACCTCATAATCAGTTGTTAATGAGGTCTATCAAACCTCATATGGACCTCATAATCAGTTGTTAATAAGGTCTATCAAACCTCATATAGACCTCATAATCAGTTGTTAATAAGGTCTATCAAACCTCATTTAGACCTCAGAATCAGTTGTTAATGGGGTCTATCAAACCTCATATAGACCTCATAATCAGTTGTTAATGGGGTCTATCAAACCTCATAAAGACCTCATAATCAGTTGTTAATGGGGTCTATCAAACCTCGTATAGACCTCATAATCAGTTGTTAATGGTGTCTATCAAACCTCATTTAGACCTCATAATCAGTTGTTAATAAGGTCTATCAAACCTCATATAGACCTCATAATCAGTTGTTAATGAGGTTTATCAGTCCTCATATGGACCTCATAATCAGTTGTTAATTGGGTTTATGAAACCTCAAATGGACCCCAAAATCAATCTGTAAGTGGGTCTATCAAAATATAAACTCACAACTAGTCATTGATAAGATTTCACAAATATCATGTAGAATCAAAAATCAGTCAATAAACAAAATTTATCAAACCTCAATGTAGAGCTCACAGTTTGTCATTAACACATGAAGTCTATCAAAATTCATGACAATCTTTCCAGACAATGACTGTATTATTTTGTAAGTTAATATCTGGTTTTGTATACCATACAACTATACATTATAGTCAATAAAATTATTAATACATGTACAAATACACATTATTTGTGAGCAACATAAAGGATTTGATAGACAATACTGATGACTGATCATGAAGTCCACATGTTGTTCATAACCCATGTTGATGTACCATTATTACAGAATTTATTGTGATATCAGTATCAACAGACTAGGACCTCTACATAGCTTTATCATACATACCTTCTCCACATGAGTTCCGTTGGCGACGGTGTCGACGCTGATAAAGGGTGGGGCTGGAGCGGGACCCTTCTTTTTCTTCTTTTCTGTGGTGTCATAACCCTGATCCTGCAAATTGTCAGCAAAAACTGTTTCTCATCTAACTTACTATCTTACCAATGGAAAGATAATCTAACGTATTTGAAAAAAAATATGCAAATATATCAAAATTTTCCATGACAAGTAATTTCATCCCAAACATGTTATTATTTTACTATTTTCCCTTTTGATATCATTAAAATATACAATATTTTACAGTTCTGATAATGAATATAATTATAATCTAACATCTTGAAAAACCATTTCTATTTTTTTCAAAATACTTCAAAATATTGTTAGCTACGTACAGACTCCTTCTCAAAATCATCCTTATCCTCTGGCGAGATCGAGCTGGCATATGACTCGAGACTGATGGCGGAGATTTCAGAGGGTGTGCGTTTGTGTCCCTGTGGACTTGTCAGGACCTGCATTTCACCCTGGAGGTTTTCTAGGCGCTGTTGGAGCCGTGCATAGTCCTTGACGAGACGTTGGTGGTGAGCACGCTCCGACTCAAACTCCGCCATCATGATCTTATTTGCGGTGTCCAGTTTTTCCTTACTAGTGTCTACAAGATGTGACAAAAAATGTTACTAATACAATCAGATAAATTAAAAGACATACAATCTACTCTACCCATTATATGTCCGACACATTTTAGAGTTATCTCCCTTGTATTTTGATTCAGAATTACTTGAGTAACGTATTCCATCATAGATTTCTACAGGTTTTCAGTTGGAACTCCTTTGAAAATGATACGTATTTAAAAGTAACATAGCCATCCTAAACTAGAAAATACTTGTAAAATATTACACATTCTGCAGCTCCGACTTTGATCAAAATATTGGTCACAGTGACTTAAATGCCATATAATGATGTAGTAAGCCTCAATTTGCATATGAATTTTGCTTACTTTGGGACCTCTAGTATCAGGGAAGTAGACTTAAAAGTTATGTCTAAAACAAACAAAGCATCACAAGTGACACAAATCTTCCATTCCCATTTTGTGACATATGTAAGAGGAAATGAAGTCGCTAGAGCGATGACAAAGGTTTTTTTCTAAAAATAGTAACAGTGACCTTAGTAACAGTGACCTTAGTAACAGTGACCTTTACCTTCAACGAAGAAACCCGAAACAAGAAGTTGTTCAAGGCATTGCCATACCAAACACTCGTATGAAGTTTCATTATATTCCATTGAGGAATGAAGTTGATAGAGTGATGACAGTTTTTATAAAAATAGTAACAGTGACCTCGACCTTTAATGCAGTAACCCATAATGCAAACTTGTTCAAGGAGTTGCCATAACAAACTCTTCTATGAAGTTTCATTATATTCCGTTGAGGAATGAAGTCGGTAGAGTGATGACAAAGTTTATCTTTTGACTTGAGGAATCACAGCCCTACACCAGCAAATCAACACGTTAGAGACACTGTTAGACAATATGGAGCAGTATTCCCGACGTAATTGTCTAAAATTCAGGGGTATCGCTGAAAGTCAAGATGAAATACTGACCAAATCATCATTGACACATGTAATAACCAACAAGGGGTCATGGTCACTCGTGCTGATATTAGCCGGTCGCATCGTGTTGGGCCGAAATCTACACGTTACCCCAGGGATATAATTGTGCGGTTCCTATCATATAGAACTAGAGCGCAGGTTTATGATGCCAGGTTCATTCTTGTGAAAAATTCAGGAACAACAAATGAAAATAATAGCGACCAAACTCCACCAAAACACCCCTCCCCTTCCAAGCTCTTCCTCAACGAGGCTCTGGCGAAAAATGGCAGTGCCGTTTTCACCAAGGCATGCCTTCTCAAGTCGACTTAAGCTGATTTCCAGTACCTGGACCACTGATGGACGAATAATAATCCTAGATAACAACGGCGAGAAGAAATATTTGACGAGACTTGACAAATTCTCTGACTACACCGACCCCCCTCCTAAAAGAGGTGTACCGACACTAGCTGATAAACAAGCTGAGTCGTGGTTCAGTGTGGGTTGTGCCAGGTCCATTATACTGTGACAGAACATAATTAACAATTCCTACCATGTAGTGTTTAAGTACTTGTGTCATTCCTTGTTACCAAAAGAATTATGTTAATTTATATACTAAAAACTTACCTTTCTACGTGTTATACCGCTGCATGATGTTCAATAGTATATATACATGTCTGTTTAATCAGATTAACTCAAGTGTTGACTGTGTCAAGTGATATTATTCTATTCTCTGTTTACTTTGTCACAAGTATGTGTACATCACAGGTAAAACACTCATTTTATCAATATCAATATCCTCACGCCCACTGTGTTATATACACTGATAACTTCAACATCTGATTGTCAATTTTGTTAGCAAAGTATCCAAGTTAATTAATTAATTCCCAGTAGAGTACACTCTCATCTATGCAAAAGTACTCTTAAAGTAGATACTCCTGGTGATTTGTTGATCATTACATGTAAGTGTGACAGTGTATACCAATGCGTGATATGTGTAACTCACAAGCAGAGTGCAGGTACACACTCATGCATTTTTGTTTACAATATAATTTGTTTATGTCCATATTTGTACAAAATGATTTGTATCTATCTATGTATCTATTTATATCTAGTTATTATCTATGGTATATATTGTGTATTGAACTTTGAATCTAATACTGTTTATCGATGTATGTTTTGTAAAAATCAATATCTTTTTATCTAAATCATGGGCTTAGATTGTCCCTTATTCACAGATAAATATATGTAGATTTCAGCATGTATGTCTACGTAGAATGAACGTATTGAAGATATCCAGGTTTATCAGAACTGGTATTACATATAAACGTACTGAAGATATCCAGGTTTATCAGATGTGTATGACATATAAACTTATTGAAGATATCCAGGTTTAACAGAATCTGTATTACATATAAACGTATTGAGGATATCCAGGTTTAACAGAATGGGTAATACATATAAACGTACTGAAGATAACCAGGTTTATCAGAATCGGTATTACATATAGACGTACTGAAGATATCCAGGTTTATCAGAATCGGTAATACATATAAACGTACTGAAGATATCCAGGTTTATCAGAATCGGTATTACATATAAACGTATTGAGGATATCCAGGTTTATCAGAATCGGTAATACATATAAACGTACTGAAGATATCCAGGTTTATCAGAATCGGTATTACATATAAACGTATTGTATTACACATAAACGTATTGAAAATATCCAGGTTTATCAGAATCGGTATTACATATAAACATATTGAGGATATCCAGGTTTATCAGAATCGGTATTACATATAAACGTATTGTATTACACATAAACGTATTGAAGATATCCAGGTTTATCAGAATTGGTTTTACATATAAACATATTGAGGATATCCAGGTTTATCAGAATCGGTATTACATATAGACGTATTGAAGATATCCAGGTTTATCAGAATCGGGATTACATATAAACGTATTGTATTACACATAAACGTATTGAAGATATCCAGGTTTATCAGAATTGGTTTTACATATAAACATATTGAGGATATCCAGGTTTAACAGAATCGGTATTACATAAAAACGTATTGTATTACACATAAACGTATTGAAGATATCCAGGTTTATCAGAATCGGCATTACATATAAACGTATTGAAGGTATCCAGGTTTATCAGAATCGGTATTACATATAAATGTATTGAAGATATCCAGGTTTATCAGAATCGGTATTACATATAAATGTATTGAAGATATCCAGGTTTATCAGAATCGGTAATACATATAAACGTACTGAAGATATCCAGGTTTATCAGAATTGGTATTACATATAAACGTATTGAAGATATCCAGGTTTATCAGAATCGGTATTACATATAAACGTATTGAAGGTATCCAGGTTTATCAGAATCGGTATTACATATAAACGTACTGAAGATATCCAGGTTTATCAGAATTGGTATTACATATAAACATATTGAAGGATCCAGGTTTATCAGAATCGGTATTACATATAAACGTACATTAATCATTATAAATGAAACAACTACATAAATAAGAATATAAAGCTTTACAACATGTTAATTATATATCTAACCTGTGTTTAATAGGCATAAATTAAACTGATTGGTGGGATTGAACTTCCAAACTCATCAGTGAATGGCCTTGTGTGATACAATGGACCTTTTGGCCTGTATCTGTTGGATGCAGTGATTTAATCCCATCAAATGTAGCTCCATACACACATTCTTTTCTCTTGATAACATGTATAAATTTTATATATCTTTTCGGTACCAAAATCAAAGGTTAGAATTTAAACCAAATTCAATTATAATAAAAATGGGTATTAGTAGTTGTTTCCCCTAATTTTATTATAAATTTGATACTACCAACTTGTTTGTATGTGTTTGTATGTGTTCTATGTCTATGTCTATGCTTGTACCACTGTCTGTTACTATGTTTGGAGAGGGCTTAAATAGGCTATGCCTGCTGCCCAATCCATTTATCTTTTGACAATAAAATTTATTGAAATAGAAACCTGGGGACTACCCAAGGTAGGTCTCGAACCTGTGACCCAGTGCTGGAGGCCTAGTGTGTCACAGAATATCAGACGCCTTAACCACTTGGCCACAGAGAAACAAACACAAAAGTCTGATCTAAAAGGACGTTGTGAAGTACTGACCTGCCGACTGTTTCTCCTGGTTACGAATCTGTTCGTTTGCCTTGTCTAACTGTTCCTTAACGGACATATTCTCATCCATCAACATCTTTGTCGACTGGAACCAAAAGATTTAAACATTGTTACACTCTGTCAGGATTTGTTGTTCAAACAATTTTCTCAGGCCCTTCTTAAAATTGAGATTTGTTGGACTCAAGATGTTAACTACGTGTCAGCATAGTCCAAATTATTCTGACGTTTTATCGACTTTTTTCATATCGGTCTGTCTTCGATTAACGTCAGAACTCTGGCCCGCTATAATATGCGGGCAATATGCGACCCGCGCCCGGAGCCCACTTCAAACTGATATTTTAGAAACAAATCGTCACTTTCACACACATATCGCACATGGATCGAATGATCTATTCTTTATGCACAAGATGAACATACATAATATGCCTCAAACAACTAATACAATCACTAAAAACATATTTTTTCAAACTTACTCTGTTTTACTCTATTTTTTTGATAGCCCCGCCTTCCAATGCCACGTGACTAAAATCTCGCCGGCCTACGTCATAACGTTGGGAAATACCTTCGGTAACGCGATATCTCGTCAAGTCATGTGACATTTCTCATGGCCTAATTTCCATAAAAAACATGGGTTGGTATAGAAAACGTTGGAAAATACTTTTCGTAATGATCTTTGAAACATGTTATTGATACCACCTAGTGCATAAAGAATAGATCTTTCGATCCATGTGCGACATGTGTGTGAAAGTGACGATTTGTTTCTAAAATATCAGTTTGAAGTGCGCTCCGGGCGCGGGTCGCATATTTCCCGCATATTATAGANAAGAGTCAGCAATGAGAAAATATTTATGCTTGAAATAGTGTTGTTCTCCTTACAATATTTCATAACTACCTGGTATATAATGATTTATTGATGATCTCCCTTTGCCTATGCCCACCATCATGTATCTTAATATAACCTTAGCTGTTTTCAAATATGAATAAACCCCAACAAGCAAATATCACCTAAATATATTTCCTCCCCAAAACTTTATACTATTGCCTACTTATATAACACAACAAACAAACCCCTATTTTCTATATATAAATCAGCTCTTGTCCCTATAATATATGTCCCCCACCTCGGCGTGTTTCTTGTGCGTGAGGTCTTTCTCCGCCAACAGGTCCTGTTTCTCGCCCTTCTCCTTGGCTAACTCCTCCTGGAGTTCCTCTATCAGCTTCAGTAACTCGGTGATACGGTTGGTTGATTTCTCAGCCATGTTACTGTTCTGACGGAGTTTCTCCATCTCAGTTTTCATGTTAACGATCTCGGCGTCCTTGACCTTCCCTTGCTGGACTTCCTTTTTCTGTGAAAAGACAATGAAGACTTTAATCAACAACTACCAATAATCTTATCTACCAGTAACCATCAGGAACCTGTCTTTGTAGATTGTAAATATCTCACTTAATAGTTTCCTTGCAATTGTAAGAAGTTGTACTATTACAGTTGAGACTTGTTAGCCTCCCACACCTCACAGGAATATTTCAGTTTCTAGGAAAAACATAGCCTCCCACCCTTCACAGGGATATTCCAGTTTCTAGGAAAAAGATAGCCTCCCACACCTCACAGGTATATCCAGTTTCTGCTAGGAAAAAGATAGCTTCCCAACATTAACAGGGAAATTCCAGTTTCTAGGAAAAATATAGCCTCCCACCCCTCACAGGGATATTCCAGTTTCTGCTAGGAAAAAGATAGCCTCCCAACATTCACAGGGATATTCCAGTTTCTGCTAGGAAAAACATAGCCTCCCACCCCTCACAGGGATATTCCAGTTTCTGCTAGGAAAAACATAGCCTCCCACCCCTCACAGGGATATTCCAGTATCTGCTAGGAAAAAGATAGCCTCCCAACATTCACAGGGATATTCCAGTTTCTGCTAGGAAAAACATAGCCTCCCACCCCTCACAGGGATATTCCAGTTTCTGCTAGGAAAAAGATAGCCTCCCAACATTCACAGGGAAATTCCAGTTTCTAGGAAAAATATAGCCTCCCATCCCTCACAGGGATATTCCAGTTTCTAGGAAAAATATAGCCTCCCACACCTCACAGGTATATCCAGTTTCTGCTAGGAAAAAGATAGCCTCCCACACCTCACAGGGATATTCCAGTTTCTGCTAGGAAAAAGATAGCCTCCCACACCTCACAGGTATATCCAGTTTCTTCTAGGAAAAAGATAGCCTCCCGCCCCTCACAGGGATATTCCAGTTTCTAGGAAAAACATAGCCTCCCACACCTCACAGGAATATTCCAGTTTCTGCTAGGAAAAACATAGCCTCCCACACCTCACAGGTATATCCAGTTTCTGCTAGGAAAAAGATAGCCTCCCACACCTCACAGGGATATTCCAGTTTCTGCTAGGAAAAAGATAGCCTCCCACACCTCACAGGTATATCCAGTTTCTTCTAGGAAAAAGATAGCCTCCCGCCCCTCACAGGGATATTCCAGTTTCTAGGAAAAACATAGCCTCCCACACCTCACAGGAATATTCCAGTTTCTGCTAGGAAAAACATAGCCTCCCACACCTCACAGGTATATCCAGTTTCTGCTAGGAAAAAGATAGCCTCCCACACCTCACAGGGATATTCCAGTTTCTGCTAGGAAAAAGATAGCCTCCCACACCTCACAGGTATATCCAGTTTCTTCTAGGAAAAAGATAGCCTCCCGCCCCTCACAGGGATATTCCAGTTTCTAGGAAAAACATAGCCTCCCACACCTCACAGGAATATTCCAGTTTCTGCTAGGAAAAACATAGCCTCCCACCCCTCACAGGTATATCCAGTTTCTGCTAGGAAAAAGATAGCCTCCCACACCTCACAGGGATATTCCAGTTTCTGCTAGGAAAAAAATAGCCTCCCAACATTCACAGGGAAATTCCAGTTTCTAGGAAAAATATAGCCTCCCACCCCTCACAGGGATATTCCAGTTTCTGCTAGGAAAAAGATAGCCTCCCAACATTCACAGGGAAATTCCAGTTTCTAGGAAAAATATAGCCTCCCATCCCTCACAGGGATATTCCAGTTTCTAGGAAAAATATAGCCTCCCACACCTCACAGGTATATCCAGTTTCTGCTAGGAAAAAGATAGCCTCCCACACCTCACAGGGATATTCCAGTTTCTGCTAGGAAAAAGATAGCCTCCCACACCTCACAGGTATATCCAGTTTCTTCTAGGAAAAAGATAGCCTCCCGCCCCTCACAGGGATATTCCAGTTTCTAGGAAAAACATAGCCTCCCACACCTCACAGGAATATTCCAGTTTCTGCTAGGAAAAACATAGCCTCCCACCCCTCACAGGTATATCCAGTTTCTGCTAGGAAAAAGATAGCCTCCCACACCTCACAGGGATATTCCAGTTTCTGCTAGGAAAAAGATAGCCTCCCACACCTCACAGGTATATCCAGTTTCTTCTAGGAAAAAGATAGCCTCCCGCCCCTCACAGGGATATTCCAGTTTCTAGGAAAAACATAGCCTCCCACACCTCACAGGAATATTCCAGTTTCTGCTAGGAAAAACATAGCCTCCCACCCCTCACAGGTATATCCAGTTTCTGCTAGGAAAAAGATAGCCTCCCACACCTCACAGGGATATTCCAGTTTCTGCTAGGAAAAAGATAGCCTCCCACACCTCACAGGTATATCCAGTTTCTTCTAGGAAAAAGATAGCCTCCCGCCCCTCACAGGGATATTCCAGTTTCTAGGAAAAACATAGCCTCCCACACCTCACAGGAATATTCCAGTTTCTGCTAGGAAAAACATAGCCTCCCACCCCTCACAGGTATATCCAGTTTCTGCTAGGAAAAAGATAGCCTCCCACACCTCACAGGGATATTCCAGTTTCTGCTAGGAAAAAAATAGCCTCCCAACATTCACAGGGAAATTCCAGTTTCTAGGAAAAATATAGCCTCCCACCCCTCACAGGGATATTCCAGTTTCTGCTAGGAAAAAGATAGCCTCCCAACATTCACAGGGAAATTCCAGTTTCTAGGAAAAATATAGCCTCCCATCCCTCACAGGGATATTCCAGTTTCTAGGAAAAATATAGCCTCCCACACCTCACAGGTATATCCAGTTTCTGCTAGGAAAAAGATAGCCTCCCAACATTCACAGGGAAATTCCAGTTTCTAGGAAAAATATAGCCTCCCACACCTCACAGGTATATCCAGTTTCTTCTAGGAAAAAGATAGCCTCCCGCCCCTCACAGGGATATTCCAGTTTCTAGGAAAAACATAGCCTCCCACACCTCACAGGAATATTCCAGTTTCTGCTAGGAAAAACATAGCCTCCCACCCCTCACAGGGATAATCCAGTTTCTAGGAAAAAGATAGCCTCCCGCACCTCACAGGGATATTCCAGTTTCTGCTAGGAAAAAAAATAGCCTCCCAACATTCACAGGGAAATTCCAGTTTCTAGGAAAAACATAGCCACCCACCCCTCACAGGGATATTTCAGTTTCTAGGAAAAATATAGCATCCCATCCCTTACAGGGATATTCCAGTTTCTTCTAGGAAAAAGATAGCCTCCCACCCCTCACAGGGATATTCCAGTTTCTAGGAAAAAGATAGCCACCCACCCCTCACAGGGATATTCCAGTTTCTAGGAAAAATATAGCATCCCATCCCTTACAGGGATATTCCAGTTTCTTCTAGGAAAAAGATAGCCTCCAACCCCTTACAGGGATATTTTATTTTCTTGGATAAAGATAGCCTCCCAACATTCACAGGGATATTCCAGTTTCTGCTAGGAAAAACATAGCCTCCCACCCCTCACAGGGATATTCCAGTTTCTGCTAGGAAAAACATAGCCTCCCACCCCTCACAGGGATATTCCAGTTTCTGCTAGGAAAAAGATAGCCTCCCACCCCTCACAGGGATATTCCAGTTTCTGCTAGGAAAAAGATAGCCTCCCACCCCTCACAGGGATATTCCAGTTTCTGCTAGGAAAAAGATAGCCTCCCACCCCTCACAGGGATATTCCAGTTTCTGCTAGGAAAAAGATAGCCTCCCACCCCTCACAGGGATATTCCAGTTTCTGCTAGGAAAAACATAGCCTCCCACCCCTCACAGGGATATTCCAGTTTCTGCTAGGAAAAAGATAGCCTCCCACCCCTCACAGGGATATTCCAGTTTCTGGGAGAAAGATAGCCTCCAACCCCTCACAGGGATATTCCAGTTTCTGCTAGGAAAAACATAGCCTCCCACCCCTAACAGGTATATTCCAGTTTCTGCTAGGAAAAAGATAGCCTCCCACCCCTCACAGGGATATTCCAGTTTCTTGGATAAAGATAGCCTCCAACCCCTCACAGGGATATTCCATTTTCTGCTAGGAAAAACATAGCCTCCCACCCCTAACAGGGATATTCCAGTTTCTGCTAGGAAAAACATAGCCTCCCAACATTCACAGGGATATTCCAGTTTCTGCTAGGAAAAAGATAGCCTCCCGACATTCACAGGGATATTCCAGTTTCTAGGAAAAAGATAGCCTCCCACCCCCCACAGGGATATTCCAGTTTCTAGGAAACATATAGCCTCCCATCTCTCACAGGGATATTCCAGTTTCTAGGAAAAAGATAGCCTCCCCCCCCTCACAGGGATATTCCAGTTTCTAGGAAAAATATAGCCTCCCATCTCTCACAGGGATATTCCAGTTTCTTCTAGGAAAAAGATAGCCTCCCAACCCTCACAGGGATATTCCAGTTTCTAGGAAAAAGATAGCCTCCCACACCTCACAGGTATATCCAGTTTCTAGGAAAAAGATAGCCTCCCACCCCTCACAGGGATATTCCAGTTTCTAGGAAAAAGATAGCACTGCTCCCACCCCTCACAGGGATATCCAGTTTCTGCTAGGAAAAAGATAGCCTCCCACACCTCACAGGTATATCCAGTTTCTAGGAAAAAGATAGCCTCCCACCCCTCACAGGGATATTCCAGTTTCTTGGATAAAGATAGCCTCCCACCCTTCACAGGGATATTCCAGTTTCTGCTAGGAAAAAGATAGCCTCCCACACCTCACAGGGATATTCCAGTTTCTTCTAGGAAAAAGATAGCCTCCCACCCCTCACAGGGATATTCCAGTTTCTAGGATAAAGATAGCCTCCCGCCCCTCACAGGGATATTCCAGTTTCTTGGATAAAGATATATAAGTGTTGATGTTTGATAAACAAATCTGACACAAGCTCCCACATCACAGATACCACTGACGACAGTGTAGTGTGTATGATTCATCATTACAGCTTTGAGGGGATTTTTTCATGATAAGAAAGTGTGGGAGAAAAATAAACACCAGTGTGATGAAAAAAAAAGAAATCCCACCCTCCCATTAAAATTATAGCAAAAGTTCAGCAGACAAAAATTAAGCCGGTCAAAAAATAATGGTTTACAGAGTGGACGTTTTTACCCTGTTGTCCAGTTTCTGTTGTAGTTCTATGATCTTGTTTTCCAGACCTATGTTGACTCCCTTGAGATGGTCCACAGACTTTGCCTCGATCTGAAACAGAACACAGATACGGTACAATCTTTGATTCTTTCCATTCTTTTTACAGATAAATATCACACCTTTAAGAAGTACATATGAGAACTTTATCGTTTTTTTCTTTTTATAATAGATAATTCATCAATGGTGCTGAATGGCAAATGAAACACAGGCATAATTATCAAGAATATTCTCATTTTTTTTTAATTTTTATAGAAACACCAACCTATTTGTATACACTAGCAAAACATCACCTCGGCAATGGAAACATGTGAAACATGATTTTTTTTAAATGTGTCATTTTTAGAAATCAAATAAATTGAGATCCTAAACGGTGACTTTGGCAACCTAAAAAGTAACCTTGATACCCTAAACGATGACCTTCAGACGCTAAACATTGACTTTGATATCCTAAACTTTGACCTTGGGAATCTGATCTGTGACCTTGACTCCTACCTTGAGAACTTTAAGCTGGGCTCTTGCCTTGCGTCGCCGGTAATGGGACTGAATCAAGACGAAGCCATGGATGATCTTATGGTATCTTCGCCGCTGTAACCAGCCGCGAATGTATTTCTGGATGACGATGGCTCGGTACTCGTGCATCTGTTTCTGGTACTGCCGTCTTCCAAACAACCCTCGGATACATGCCTGGTAATGAAAAATGAGGAGTTACCATGGCAACAGAGCTTATAGTTACAAAGATTAACAACCCCAATTCAATTGATACAAATGTTAATGATATACACGTATGTCCGCAATTGCTTCCATGAAATTGTACACTTTTCATATCATTATTGTTCCAATACAACAATATAAGTAAATTCACGGCCAAGTGATGTTTCACAGAACATGCATTCAGATTCGCCTTTATTTTATTTAATCAACCATAAATTGGAGGAAAAAATACATAACAAATTTTGTTATCTCACAAATGATGAACCAGACATATCTAAATATCAAATGATGCCAATACTTATATCAAGGTTTATGTACTGGTAACCAGGGTAATTACATGTCTATGTTTGTTATTTAAGTACTGCAGACACAACTAGTGGACTTATCCACCTTATTTCATATTCACTGCCTGAAATACCTTGCACGTTTATATTTACTGCCTGAAATCTCAACACAGAAAATTACAGTTGACTGAGTTTTGTTTTTCAGTTTGACATTTTTAAGGAGCTTGTAACTTTATAACTTACCTGTAGCTTTACTACAGCACGTTTCTTGAACATAAAGGTTTTGCGAGCCTTGAAACCCTTAAATGTTTTCTGGATCTTAGTGGCAGCCCTTGTCTCCCGTAGAAACTTAGCATGTCTGTAAAACACAACCAGTTTTAATTGTCAGAACCATAAAAAAAAATATTTGTAATAGTTGTCTCCCTCAGATAAGAATTGCCCGAGGACCACCAAACCACTTCTGCCATTTAAGGACAATAATATTCTTAGTAATAAAAGAATTAACAAATAATGTTCTCGGGGAGGTAATCTAGTTGGGTCTACGTTACCTTCTCGCCAGCACTCCTCGGCCGTGTTTCTGTATCAGTTTTATAGACCGCATGATCTTCTTGTACCGTCGTCGTGCTAACCAGCCCTTAACGTGTTTCTGGATCATGATACCACAGGCTCGGAGCTTCTCTGATCGTAGCTTCTCAAGATACGCCACTTGGCCGGCCCGGAAGAAGATTTTCGTTTTACCAAACCTGTATTTATCTCGATCCTGTGCAAAACAGTAATAACATTAATTGGATTTTTGTAGCAGATATCACTAATTATTTCCATTTCAGACTCAATCATTTATTCAGAAATATTTTTTATGAATTTGATTCCTGGTAGAGTAGTCACAATATGCCTGGAGTATATCATGATATATTACAATACAGAGGTCTTGTATTGGGATACTTATCACAATAAAACAGAATTGTTGTCAGCATGTTATAAGACCAAATCATATATCACATGGATCACTACCATTTAAGATTTTTGTTACACAAAACATCACTTATGAAATTTGAACTGATTCCCCCCACCAGTATAGCCTGTGTATGGTTATTGGTAATTGTCGGTTAGAATTTGTACCTGGTAGCATTTTGCAAAGTTAAAAATCACCTACCATAATGTATAAAACAAAGCTTTTGAAAGTTATTGCAAAACAACAACATTTCATTATGTGATATGATACGATATATGCTTGTATATTGCGATATACCGGTTTTCCAATATATTGTGACAGCCCTAGTTCCAGGGGGTCATCTGTTTTATACAGAGAACACAATATATCTATTTATCTGCTAATGTTCAATGATAAAACTCAAGTTAAAATTTTAGTCTCTTAGATGTAAATTATTATCAGTATATATGGACATTTCGTTGATTCATTTGAAAAGAACAAAAACACACATGTAATGGGTAACTATTCTTTAGAGACCCTCTGTAAGGGAGATAACTCTAACACAAAAACACTAACATGCAAGGAAGCTTATATCCTTAAAAAGTGACACCATCCCAATAACACTGGATTCAAATGTAAATAACACAGGAATTTTAAATGAAACAATTTCGTGAAATGAATTTCGCTGAAAAGAAGGTTAAATGTTATTTCCAACACAAACTTAAACTGGTGAACATGATTATTTATGCAGATTAGTAACAACATAGGAAGCAGAAGGGTCTGATTCCTAAAACATTGGTTAGATACAAGTGTATAACAACTTAATTCAACTGAATACTGCAGTATTACATGTCATGCTCTCAATTCACAATTGTACTGAAATGTGAACATTCCTTGGCACAAAATTCCTTCAATCAATCAGAACAAACTGGGCTTAACATTTCTGTCTGTAAAACCTGATCAAACTTGTTTTTCCATGAATTAATAGTAAAGTATTCACTTTTCTCATTTTTTTTTTCATACAACAGTTTTCAAGCACTTGGATTTACGCACTATAAATATAATTTCAATATGAATGTGCCAAGTCTGCTTAGTGGCTTTCCATCGCATGATGAAAACTGATTCCTCAAATGTGTTCCATTTTACCAGTGATAAGCTAAGGGGGTCTACAGCTAGCCCTGATTGGGGAATATAGACTTGGTAATCAATGGACTGATCTTCCTTGGTAAAGTCTGTTCAGCAAAGGGCAGGCACATCACACATGTACTAAGTATCACAAGCCAATAACACTCTTCCAGCTCCGCACAAACTTTGGTATCACATATGAAGTGTGGCAGGAGAGTCTATCTCAGTATGAAACACTCCAACATCCCAGGAGGTACTGACAGGAGGCCTCAGTACTAAGTATCACATATGAAGTGTGACAGGAGAGCCTATCTCAGTATGTAACACTCCAACATCCCAGGAGGTACTGACAGGAGGCCCCAGTACTAAGTATCACATATGAAGTGTGACAGGAGAGCCTATCTCAGTATGTAACACTCCAACATCCCAGGAGGTACTGACAGAAGGCCCCAGTACTAAGTATCACATATGAAGTGTGACAGGAGAGCCTATCTCAGTATGTAACACTCCAACATCCCAGGAGGTACTGACAGAAGGCCCCAGTACTAAGTATCACATATGAAGTGTGACAGGAGAGCCTATCTCAGTATGTAACACTCCAACATCCCAGGAGGTACTGACAGAAGGCCCCAGTACTAAGTATCACATATGAAGTGTGACAGGAGAGCCTATCTCAGTATGTAACACTCCAACATCCCAGGAGGTACTGACAGAAGGCCCCAGTACTAAGTATCACATATGAAGTGTGACAGGAGAGCCTATCTCAGTATGTAACACTCCAACATCCCAGGAGGTACTGACAGAAGGCCCCAGTACTAAGTATCACATATGAAGTGTGACAGGAGAGCCTATCTCAGTATGTAACACTCCAACATCCCAGGAGGTACTGACAGAAGGCCCCAGTACTAAGTATCACATATGAAGTGTGACAGGAGAGTCTATCTCAGTATGTAACACTCCAACATCCCAGGAGGTACTGACAGAAGGCCCCAGTACTAAGTATCACATATGAAGTGTGACAGGAGAGCCTATCTCAGTATGTAACACTCCAACATCCCAGGAGGTACTGACAGAAGGCCCCAGTACTAAGTATCACATATGAAGTGTGACAGGAGAGCCTATCTCAGTATGTAACACTCCAACATCCCAGGAGGTACTGACAGAAGGCCCCAGTACTAAGTATCACATATGAAGTGTGACAGGAGAGTCTATCTCAGTATGTAACACTCCAACATCCCAGGAGGTACTGACAGAAGGCCCCAGTACTAAGTATCACATATGAAGTGTGACAGGAGAGCCTATCTCAGTATGTAACACTCCAACATCCCAGGAGGTACTGACAGAAGGCCCCAGTACTAAGTATCACATATGAAGTGTGACAGGAGAGCCTATCTCAGTATGTAACACTCCAACATCCCAGGAGGTACTGACAGAAGGCCCCAGTACTAAGTATCACATATGAAGTGTGACAGGAGAGCCTATCTCAGTATGTAACACTCCAACATCCCAGGAGGTACTGACAGAAGGCCCCAGTACTAAGTATCACATATGAAGTGTGACAGGAGAGCCTATCTCAGTATGTAACACTCCAACATCCCAGGAGGTACTGACAGAAGGCCCCAGTACTAAGTATCACATATGAAGTGTGACAGGAGAGCCTATCTCAGTATGTAACACTCCAACATCCCAGGAGGTACTGACAGAAGGCCCCAGTACTAAGTATCACATATGAAGTGTGACAGGAGAGCCTATCTCAGTATGTAACACTCCAACATCCCAGGAGGTACTGACAGAAGGCCCCAGTACTAAGTATCACATATGAAGTGTGACAGGAGAGCCTATCTCAGTATGTAACACTCCAACATCCCAGGAGGTACTGACAGAAGGCCCCAGTACTAAGTATCACATATGAAGTGTGACAGGAGAGCCTATCTCAGTATGTAACACTCCAACATCCCAGGAGGTACTGACAGAAGGCCCCAGTACTAAGTATCACATATGAAGTGTGACAGGAGAGCCTATCTCAGTATGTAACACTCCAACATCCCAGGAGGTACTGACAGAAGGCCCCAGTACTAAGTATCACATATGAAGTGTGACAGGAGAGTCTATCTCAGTATGTAACAATCCCAGGAGGTACTGACAGGAGGCCCCAGTACTAAGTATCACATATGAAGTGTGGCAGGAGAGTCTATCTCAGTATGTAACACTCCCAGGAGGTACTGACAGGAGGCCCCAGTAATAAGTATCACATATAAAGTGTGGCACGAGAGCCTATTTCAGTATGTAACACTCCAACATCCCAGGAGGTACTGACAGAAGGCCCTAGTACTAAGTATCACATATGAAGTGTGGCACGAGAGCCTATCTCAGTATGTAACACTCCGACATCCCAGGAGGTACTGACAGAAGGCCCCAGTACTAAGTATCACATATGAAGTGTGGCACGAGAGCCTATCTCAGTATGTAACACTCCGACATCCCAGGAGGTACTGACAGAAGGCCCCAGTACTAAGTATCACATATAAAGTGTGGCACGAGAGCCTATCTCAGTATGTAACACTCCGACATCCCAGGAGGTACTGACAGGAGGCCCCAGTACTAAGTATCACATATGAAGTGTGGCACGAGAGCCTATCTCAGTATGTAACACTCCCAGGAGGTACTGACAGAAGGCCCCAGTACAAAGCTACTGTCTTCACTGGCAGTACAAACTTGGAACAAATAAATGGATGGTCTTATTTACAACCATGGGCTTATCACAGGTAAACACAGTTTAAGTGGGCAGTGTTTTTTTGCGTGATTTGGGATGGGGTCGTTTGTCTCATTTCAGAAAGAAGATATACCAGTTGGGAAGGAATTTACAGGAGTAAACTGCAAATTCTGGGAATTAGGGATAAACATGAAATCATTTCAATTGGGAATGGAGCCCATTACTGGACCCAAAAAGTCCCTAGAAAAACACTGCTGGGGGTGGTCTTATCACTGAGCATGAGTTTATCACTGGTAAAGTACGGATTATAACAATGTCAGGATTCAGGACGATTGTGAATTGTGTTATCAGTGAGATTGAACTGTAATATCTGATGTACAGAATACCTGCACTAACTTCTTGTTCTTTTTAAGCATCTTTGGAGAAAACCCCTAACAATGTATAAAATACATATAGAGGTCCTGACAATGTTTAATAGGGTATGAAATACTTTCTTAGGCCCTGCCTATGCGTAATAGAGTGTGAAATACTTCACGAGGCCCTGGCTATGCGTAATAGAGTATAAAATACTTAATGAGGTCTGAACTTTGTATTATGGTGTATAAAAGACTAATGAGGCCCTGACTATGTATAATACAGTATAAAATAATTAATGCGGCCCTTTACTATATATGATGGGGTATAAAATACTTAATAAGGCCCTGACTATGTATAATAAAGTATAAAATACTGAAGATGGCTATGACAAAGTGCAGAGTCTAAAGCACATACTGAGGCCCTGAAAAGGTATGTAAGAGGCTCTATTAACGCATTTAGTATCAAAAAATGTTTTAAACCCAAAAAGAGGATATATCAATATCATAAAATTGCCTTAAATTTTGCTTGAAGAACGAGGCTATGAGTAACTGTGACCTTACAGTTATAGCCTTGACCTTGCCATTTTCACCTTGACCTTGATATAATTCTACGACTTTGCCTTGTAAAGTTGACCTCGTCATTCTGTTGTTGAGCCTCACCTGTATGATTTTCGTAAGGATGTTTTCACACGTCTGTCTGGGGTTGGACCGATTGATATCCTTGGATCTGGCCAGGACCCGGTATCTCTGGAAGAACTCGTTATAAGTCCACCTGGGAAAGACAGAAATCAGGTACCATAATGACAATGTAACAATGGACTTGATTGGTTGATGAAAATCATTCATGATTACAGAGAGACTTAAATGAGATAACCCATGCATAAGCAACAATTGAAAAGACAACAATAAAAATTATCTCCTTTTATAGGAAAAATCTCTTTTCGGATGTTCTACAATTGTACTAAAAGACTTATAGCTAAATTCACTTGAAAACCAATTACTCTACATGATACATCAAGTGGATAATTCTTGTTCAATTGAACTTCTTAACTGTTTTATCTAATTTTAACTTCTTAACTGTTTTATCTAATTTTAATATCAAGATTAACATACAACATTTAAACTGAGTCTTTATAATCACGGTCTTGGAAGGTCAAACTGGATGACCTTCCAAGAGGTCATGACCTTGACATGTCAGTGGGGTTACAACCTTGACCTACCTTGAAGGGTAACCAGCAGCACTGATGCGTATCGTCTCCAACACACCACAGGCCCGAAGTTGTTCCACTGCTCTGTTAGGCTCAAACCTAAACAACGAAACAACACATAGGCTTATATCTAAACAATGAAACAACACATAGGCTTAAATTGAAACATCGAAACAACACATAGGCTCAAACCTAAACAATGAAACAACACAAAGGCTTAAATCTAAACAACGAAACAACACATAGGCTCAAACCTAAACAATGAAACAACATGTAGGTTTATATCTAAACAATGAAACACTACCATAGACTTAAATCTAAACAATGAAACAACACAGGCTTATATCTAAACAACAAAACAACACATAGGCTTAAATCTAAACAACGAAACAACACAGGCTTAAATCTAAACAACAAAACAACACATTAGCTTAAATTTAAATACAGAAACAAATTCATTTTTTTGATAAAATTTAAGCTTTTCAGCTTATCAGTTCACAAATAACTTTTGAATACAGTGGCAGACACTATAACGATGCTGTAGAAAGACAGAATAAACAGGGTAATACAAATATACAGGGTAATACAAATATACAGGGTAATACAAATATACAGGGCTAAAGTCTTAACAACAAAGCGACATCCATTTTATCACCAAACCCCTTTATATCGCCATAATTTCCCTCAACAAATGGTTGCATTATAACAAGGTTTTATTGTATTACTTTTTGCTATTGCAAATACACAAGCAACTTTGTGTCAGAAAAATGTTGTAAAAAATAGAACTCTTCTTTATTGGAGTTCAGCAAAGTGTGTTAAGACTTACTACCTTAATGATTTTACTCACGTGAAGGCCTCTTTATTATCGTTAGGTTTGATACAGCGGATGTAATGAGGTGTCGTGGCATTCAGGGTCTCCATCAACATCTTCAGGGAGTCTCGGAACTGAAAAACATCGCAACACACATCGCTACACTGAATGTCTCAGGTTTAAATATCAATTATGAAACAAAATACTATAATACTGAAATGCTTGTTGGTCACGGAAAAATGTGTTTTTAGTGGATGGAGTTACATCAAACATTTAAAAATAAATAAACAAGTTAACGCAATTTTGTGCATTATATATAATATCCATAGAAGTTTCTAGATGATGTTCTTTATTGCATTAGAAACATTTACAGAACAATATTGTGAAATCAGATATTTTCGTGGGGCAAAATTTCCTGGTTTCACAACAAAACACCATTGCGTGGTACATGAATTTGTGGATTAGTCATTACAAGTACCCACTCAAATGAATAAATGTTTTAAATCAAATTTGTAATTACTTTGTGGACCAATGAATTAGGTGATGAAGATTACCCAGGAAATCAACGAAATTAAAAAACCCACGAAAATTAGTATTTCACAGTATAAGATTACTACCAGCATACATGCTACAAGTGCAATACCTGAGTTATGGAAGAAATTTACTGAAATATCACATAACGGGACAAAAATTGTAAAAGGTCTATTGTAGAAGGAGCAGGATGGGTGTGGTTGACCTGTGTTTGTCACAGAATTAGACAAAGGGGGATGTTAACTACTGGAAGAGCTGCGGTTAAAATGTGTCATTGAACCAGACACTGCAGAGAGACATCAATTACTGGGTGTATGGCGTCTGTTATGTATATAACATAGGAACTTCCTGGAAGACGTCAATTACTGGGTGTATGGCGTCTGTTATGTATATAACATAGGAACTTCCTGGAAGACGTCAATTACTGGGTGTATGGCGTCTGTTATGTATATAACATAGGAACTTCCTGGAAGACGTCAATTACTGGGTGTATGGCGTCTGTTATGTATATAACATAGGAACTTCCTGGAAGACGTCAATTACTGGGTGTATGGCGTCTGTTATGTATATAACATAGGAACTTCCTGGAAGACGTCAATTACTGGGTGTATGGCGTCTGTTATGTATATAACATAGGAACTTCCTGGAAGATGTCAATTACTGGGTGTATGGCGTCTGTTATGTATATAACATAGGAACTTCCTGGAAGATGTCAATTAATAGGGGCAGACTTATCAGAGTAGCTGACCACTGCTACAATGCTAATCCTTCCAACAAAATTATGATCAGCTATCCACAGTCATGTGATTTATCCAGTCATGTGATTTATCCAGTCATGTGATTTATCCAAAGTTATATGACATCATATATCCAAAGTTATATGACATCATATATCCAAAGTTAAGTGATCATACTGTATAACGGGAACATGTTGCCCTTTAACAGTTAAAATTCATTTTTGCCCAGTTAAATTAAATTCACATTTCATAACTATGTACATTATGTTTCTGTAAGGATAAATTATCACTCATAATGGAGGGTTAACCCTTTCACCACTGTAGACCATAACTGACACATCCAGATCAATGCATGGTAGAGTCTACTCAAGTTACATAGGGGTGAAAGGGTTAAAAGGCGAAAATCAAACTGCAATGAAAATGTTCTGGTTTAAAGTATTTCTGAATGATTAGATCTGTTGTAAATTACAGGTAATACCTTAATTAATATACAAGATAAAATATTAATGATACACCATGGTGACTGTCACATGACAGGATTGTATGAAGATGTATGTCACATGTCTAGCTCTAGCAATTTTTCAAATATCCAAATTTTGATAAACATATTATTGTTAATATAAAGCTGCATGTCAATTTTTCGTTAGAAAAAAAAAGTTAGAAGAAGTTAAAATTTAATAATCTCCTCCCAAATCCAAGCTTTATTTCCCAAAACCTACCTAAACATAGAGTAACTAATTACATCTTATACAGTTCATGCATTTTCTTTATAATGTTTAATATTAGTAGTTATAGGACTACGAACATGATACATTTACACCTCAAGGCATGTCCTACACCAATACTGTTTATCTACAAAACTGTAATCATGCATGAAATATTATTGCTATATTAAAATAACATTTTATTTATAGAGGATTCTGCACAATTGGATCTATTTCAACTTATCAAAATGTGGGTTGCTATTTCAATCTCTTGCAAAACAAAAGTAAAATATCTGTAAAACTATACTGTAGTCAGTAATTCAACCTGAAAATTCTTCTTTTTTTTAAAGTCATAAATCAATTTTCTTTAATGATAACAAATATTTGGAAATAGGAAAAAATTAACAGGACAGGTAACCTTTTTAGTTTCGAGAAGAATGTTAGATTTGATAAATGGTTACAGGAATTCTGATTTGTGGTTGAAGGGAATGGTTTGTCTGAATGATGTCTGTCTAAAATACTTGATCAAATCTGGATAAATACAAAGTTTAGTATGTCACTGTTAGTAACAAAAAGCCAATCATTGTTAGTAACGGCTGTCACACTCACTACCTAGCAACCAATGAGAAGTGCTGTTACAAAATAGTCTAATTATCAAATTGGTTGTAACGACAAATCTAATTGGTTGTCCTAAAAACACATATAAACCATTAAGAGTTGGCTATTGAACAAACATAAATGTATTTCTTTGTGAAATCAGTATGTTACTGTCCTAATCCAAAGTTTATTACATAAACCTTGTTAACAAATCAGAAACAACACTTTTTGGACTAATATTACCTGTCATAGATCTTCAAAAATATACTTCCTTTTATTACATTTCTAGTGATCATTCTACCTAATTGTCTTTTTGACAGTTACATTTTGAAAATGAGAACAGTCCTCAAACAAACAACACTTCACAGTTGTTCTCATTATCCATATAAGATACTTGTTTTTTTATTTTAAAACTTATTTTTTATAAATTCATGTGTATGAGAGTAACCTCCCTTTATCATACCCCTACACGTCAATAATGTTTTGAATTTGCTTGACTTTATCTTCAATATGGACAATTTACCTTTTTCTAGTTGTTAATCTTTGAAAAAAATATAACAACTATTTTCACAATTTACCAATCTCCATTTTTTCCTCCAATTGAAATGTAAGGTTTGGACTATCACCAGTCAAACAAGACAGAATGACCAAGTATAAAGCCAAGTAAAAGTCGATATTCTAAAGTTCTTGAAGCATTGAGGCAAAACTACTAACAATTCAAACATCAAGGAGATGGAGACTTGCTAACGAACATATTTCATCTATTTGCAACCATGCTAATATCGTTGGTTGAAATGGATTGAGCACAAAACGAAAATGATAATTAACATAAAATTAACATGAAATATTTGTATATTTATTTATTGCTGGGAAAACATTAAAAAGGATGGTCAACACAGCTACGAAGAAAATCAAGCAAACAAAACTGAATTTAAAGGAAGAATTTCAATATATAAAGAAAGAGATGACAGCCAACTCTAGTACAAATTCTGCTCTAGGATATGTATATATACGCCATGTCACAGTAGTGGGGGAATACAAGTTATACTTTTAACATGTATATAAATACTATACTAAGCCCCATGTAAGTAAAATATAAGTTCAAGATGTTCAAAGATCTTTTCACACACCAAATCGCTAAATTTTTGAAATTATATATTTATAGTTTTTCTAAATATCTTCTTTTTTTTTTTCTTATTTAATTATGAAATACAGATACATCTATGTATCTATCTATGTATGTTATTTGAATGGGCAAAGGTTATATTGCTTCCATAAAATCTGCAGTTATGGTCGTGAATTTTGTACTTTTTTGTTTATTCCGAAAAAAATATATATTCAAAATAAAATTCAGGTAACTTGGCCATTAAATTAAAATACAAGGGTTAAATTTAGCCCTTTCTTCGTCTGAAGAATATTTAAAGAGCTTTCTTCATTGCTTATAAATTTTTGCGGCTTTTTTTCTGCTGATAGAAGTTTGAACAATCCAGGCATGATAGCTACAACACACATTGTCAGTAAATCTTTCCGCTACTAGTTTTTGCGTAAGTAAGAACGAGAAAACGGGAAAAGTGAGAACCCACAACCAGACATAACGGGTAACACGCGCTGTCGCACACACACTGTGCGATGGCATACGCTTTACCTGATCTCCCACTGTTGCCTTCTGTTGTTGCTATAGCAACGAGGAAAACATGTCATTAAGATAATGTTACAGAAGCTGACACACGAGCAGGCAAATTTATACAGCCATGTTCTCCTCGGTCAGGGTCAGGATTGCAAGGACAAAGTTTTTTTTAATTGCTATCATAAAAATCATGAATATTTTCAAAAAGATTCATAACTTTGGAAATATGTAATATCAGAGTTTAAATGTTTACACAAACAATGTACGTTTAAAACTGTTGAACGTGTTGCAACGTTTCAAGATGTCTCAGTAGTTGACTGTGTGCACTCAGTCATAGCTTGACAAAGGGACCAGTCAGTCTCACTCAGTCATAGCTTGACAAAAGGACCAGTCGGTCTCACTCAGTCATAGCTTGACAAAGGGACCAGTCGGTCTTGAAACGTCCCAACACATTTATATGTACATTCTTTGTGTAGGAAGTAAAACTGTGATTTTATTAAATTTAAATATTTTGATGTTTTACAATTAAGTTTTGGTATAGTGTTATTATATTTATGTTCCTTACACAGGAGGTCGACTTTCAAATAAACAGCTATCTGTTATAATGACGTCACACTTGTAACGACTTAAGATTACCACTCCAGTTTAATGGTCTCATAACTCTAGGCTGACTTTGGTAGGTGTTGGCAATGTGAAATATAATCAGTAATTTTTGTAGGATTTTTTTTCTGGTGAATCTTGAATTTGAGACCTGGACTTAAGCTTTCTTTTGGTTCTCAAAATGAGTACCATAAGAAAGCTTAAGTCCAGGTCTCAAATAAGTGTATAGCTGGGTAATATCTGTTTCCTGTTTTAATTTTAGCCATCAATCACTGTATATACAGGGAAATAAGTATTTTGAAAAGAGAGAATGTAATAAAACAAAATGTGTGAAAAGATTTGTTTTATTTATTTAAAAAAAGAAAGGACCTGAATCCTACCAGAGGACACAACAAATATTATGCCGTGACGGCGCGAAAATTAAATGATTAATTCTGACGGGATTTTTTTGTCGCGCGTTATCACCCCCCACAGAATTTCCTTATGGGGGTCATGACCCCCATTGGGAGATTCAGGGTTAGCAGGTCTGTCAATGTGATGAATTAAATTTGTTACTGAAGGAGAACATGACTGTGACGTTATAGCATTAACTACACACGTGTATAATATCAGCGCCACAACAAATAAAATCATTACACAATTTACTGTTCAAACTTAACCAAACTACACATGAATAATAATGATATGATGAAATGGAAAACTGAAGTAAATAGACTCCTACGTAAATGATTCATGAAGATAAAAAATGCTTTTCTAAAAAATTAGTAAAGAAGTATAATTACATATCAATGGTGCAAGATTCAAAATTTCTACTCTACAGTTAAAAATAAAAGGTTATTCCAACTAATTAATAACAAATTCTTCTCGGCACATTAATTAAGTATTCTCACTCAAACTTAAAATAGTTTCAAAATGATAACAAATTCCCTGTACTAAATCACTTTAAAGATTTAACACAAGTGTAAAGGATGGTCCTTTATGATAGACCAACTCCTACCCAGATTATCTCCCCTTAGAATACAGGTGGCGCTATTAACTGACCTGTGATCCGACCGTGCTGCGGTTCGACTTGGCCCCTGTCTTTGGTACTGAACGTGTGGGATGGGTCGCGGCGGATCCTGATCTAGGCTTTTTTAAATTCGGGTCTTTATGATCAAACAGCTCAGCTACCAGTTCGAACTGAAATAAACAAGACATTTATTTGCTTTTTGCTATCCTTAAATGCACAGAAGTTTAGACCATCAAATTTCAAATGCTCCAATTAAAAACAAAATTAAGGTTAAATGCTACCTTATACATTATATCTGTCATGTGTAATATAAAGATCTCCCTTTTTTCTAATTGTAATTATTTCAATTCTTGCTTACCTGAGCAGCACTTAATATTCCGTCTTTGAGTATTGCAGTTATCTTCTCTTGTGAGCAGGTATTGATTGTTACGTCATTTGTTTGTGAGAGTAACGTCATCAATTTTTGATTTTTTCCATTTTGTAGAACTCTTATTTGTGAAGGAGTTTAAGGTAAAGATTATTATGTAGCATACAACCGTGGATTAATTACAGATAACATAGAGAGATAGCCTACCTCACTGGCTTTGAGAATATAGAGATATAGCCTACCTCACTGGCTTTGAGAATATAGAGAGATAGCCTACCTCACTGGCTTTGAGAATATTGATGTGTTCCTCTAATACTGTGTCTCGGTTTTTCTCCAGGAATCCGTCAGCAAAGTACTGGACTTTGTCGGCGAAGTGGGCGATGATGAACGCTATGTTAGACATGCGTGGTTTGTCGAAGTGTTTAGCTTTACCAAGGTGTTTACTGTACAACTTCTGACACCAGTTAGCGTCAGACCCACGTGGCATCTGTCCAAGAAAAAGAGATGAAAACAGTGAAATAAGTATTTGTAGAGTAAAAAAAATCAGGCAAAGTGATGGAAATCTCTCTATCGTTTTTAGCAATATTTTTATCACAACACTTTTTTCGATCCATTTCTATCAAGCTACTACCTCGGTAACATTAAACCTAAAATTGTTTCCCTGTTAATTTTTTTTATGTTTGATTGTTTGTGTTTTACGTCCTATTATTAGCTATGGTAATTAAAGGATGTGCCAGGTTTTGGTGGTGGAGGACAGCCGGAGAAAAAAACCAACCTGTGGCCTGTACCTGGCGTCTGCCCCACGTAAGCCTCGAACCCACGACCCAGTGGTGGACCAGATGGTCAGACATATAAACCACTAGGCCAATGCGGACCCTTTTTTTATATTTGTGATATTTCCTAAATATTTCCTAACATACATACAACATATGCCACATTCAAAACTATGACCTCCATGTAACCTTTCACTTCCAACATCTTTATGAACTTTGACCTTGATTGAACTTTACCTTACATTCCTCATCCAAGATCCAACCTTTAACCTCGAATACCTTTAAGACATTTGACCTCTGACCTTAGTTGAACCTTACCTTACATTCCTCATCCAACAGATCCAGGATTCCCAGCTTACTTTCGATCAGATCAATACAGGGCTGGTTGTCATAGAAATCAATAAACGACCACTCGATACCCTCCCGTACATACTCCTCCTGCTCCAGTTTGAACACGTGCTGAAACAGAAAATGTCAACTTCAACATCGGCTATTAAAGTCCTTATTTCTCTACTGTGTCATATTCATGGTTGCGACAAATTTACAATATTTTTAGCTTGGTTTAAATCTTATTGAGATATTAGTTCTTTCAATTAGACCTTAGCTAAAGAGAAATGAGCTCAACCTGAAAGAAAATTGTATCAGATCAAGGAGTTTACAGAAATATTCATATTAAATTCACATTTCAAAATTCAGATTATTATTAGACATACTTTTTTTCTTCAAAATTAGTCTCCATTCAAAATTGAGATTTTATGGAACAAGGTCTGAAAATGCTGTTCCTAACCAGGCATGCAACTTTTTTTTAATTCTCTTGGGTTTAAAAATTTTGTGCATTCTACATGGCGACTAGGCTTAGCTAAGTTTATATTTGATACAGTGTGATATTTATCAATTGCTTTAATACATTTTTTATTTATTTTAGTTGGAAAATATCTGCACTAAACTCAAGGATTCAATTAAATTTTTTCAAGAAATAATAATTGAAAAATACAGATTTTGAAGAGGAAAACACCATTTTTCAGGTAAATATGCTTGCAAAAAATTAAGTTTTCAGTTTTTATGTTTCTGTATTAGTTTTGTAAGATAAAGGAGAATTACTTATGTGTCACTTACGCTGTTAAAAATCTGTTGAAGTTTCTCATTGGCATAATTAATACAAAACTGCTCAAAACTGTTGATTTCAAAGGTTTCAAATCTGTAATGTAAACAAAAAGAGACAATTAATACCACGCCACACAAACATGTAATGTATACCGCAAGATTTTCTTCCGGTCAAACTTTCGCCCTTCGCCTGTGAAATCTGAATTTGCCCAGTGTTAATTTTGCCTTTCAGATTTTAGGTACTACATATATAAATTTAGTTGTCGACTAATGTTCACTGTAATATCAAATTCTCCCTCATAACGTGTACAGAGGGCGAAAAAAGGCAAAAATTAAACTGCAGCGAAAATTCCACGGTATACAATATTGATATGCAAAATATTATCTTTTTATTAAAAGGAACCAGAAATTGTTATAATTATGAAAACCTTTTTCACTACTCTGGGTCTTTCAGAAGCCAGCAAAGAATTAAGTTTAATTTTAATATCAATACAGATATTGTTTACTGCTGACCATAAAAGTTAGTTTTTAACAAAGAACATATGACATTCTTTTTAACATTTCAGAGTCTTCACAAAAGTGCTAACTATACAGAGATATTGATTTTGCTATTTCAATGCAACAGAAACCTTTAAGATATATTATTCTTACTAAAATACTCAAAACTCTAAATGTCTCAGTCCTTCTAAACTCTTAATGTCTCAGTCCTTTAAAACTCTAAATGTCTCAGTCCTTCAATACTCTAAATGTCTCAGTCCTTCTAAACTCTTAATGTCTCAGTCCTTAAAAACTATAAATGTCTCAGTCCTTTAAAACTCTAAATGTCTCAGTCCTTTAAACCTCTTAATGTCTCAGTCTTCAAAACTTAACATCTCAGTCCTTCTAAACTCTTAATGTCTCAGTCCTTCAATACTCTAAATGTCTCAGTCCTTTAAAACTCTTAATGTATCAGTCCTTCTAAACTCTTAATGTCTCAGTCCTTAAAAACTATAAATGTCTCAGTCCTTTAAAACTCTAAATGTCTCAGTCCTTCAATACTCTAAATGTCTCAGTCCTTCTAAACTCTTAATGTCTCAGTCCTTTAAAACTCTTAATGTCTCAGTCCTTTAAAACTCAATGTCTCAGTCCTTCTAAACTCTTAATGTCTCAGTCCTTAAAAACTCTAAATGTCTCAGTCCTTTAAAACTCTAAATGTCTCAGTCCTTTAAAACTCTTAATGTCTCAGTCTTCAAAACTTAACATCTCAGTCCTTCTAAACTCTTAATGTCTCAGTCCTTTAAAACTCTAAATGTCTCAGTCCTTTGAAACTCTTAATGTCTCAGTCTTCAAAACTTAACATCTCAGTCCTTCAAACTCTTTACATCTCAAAGTAGATTTACCCGTAAATGTCAAGAACACCAATAAACTTGTGCTGCTTGGTGACGCTGTGCAGCGTGATGTTGATCTTGTTTACAATCCATGTGAACACCTCGGCGTAGATATGCTTGGCCAGGGCGTCCTGTGCAAAACTCGCCTGTTGTTACAGAAACAGAAAACACAAATCATTTTACAATTGAAACTTATAAAAATTCTGATCCTTTCCTGTCACAGGGCATCACAGGGGTTTCAGCTTGAATTTGCAAACATAATTTTATCTTTACCTTTAATCATCAGACATTGATCTACCAGCTTAGAGACGATAGGTTCAGTTAGTCAAATCAAACAATTTTTTTACCTTTAACAATCATTACTAGATGTCCTTGACACATAAATTACAATATGTTTTTTGATCATATGACCTCCTTTGACCTTGATCTACCAGGTAAATAACAAAATGTCTAAAATCACCCACTGATCTTGCTAGTTATCTGATCTGACCTCAACCTAACTTAGCGAGTGTCAGAGAAATGAAGTCCCCCAAGGATCTTGATAATTGTTTGTCATTTAAACTTGAACTTAATTAATTGTCATCTAACCTTGACCTTCCTGGCTGGAGATGACAGCTTCATCATCTTGACAATGTTTAACATTTGACCTTGTACAATATATGACTTTGACCTACCTGTCTGGGGATCAATGGAAGGTTCATCCCAAATTCCATTGACCTTGTCAATCATTTGACCTTGTACAATATATGACCTTGACCTACCTGTCTGGAGATCGAAATGTTTAATATCTGACGCCCATGACCTGGTTGATTATTTGACCCTGACCTACCTGGCTGGCGGTGAGAGGTTTATTTACTGACACCCTTGGCCTGGTTGATTATTTGACCTTGACCTACCTGGCTGGCGGTGAGAGGTTTAGTGAGCACCTCGTTGACAGTGGTAATCTTTTTGTGACATAGCCACATCCTCATCTGTGACTCCTCTATCCCCAGTAGTGAACAGCAGGTGGCCAGGGACTTGTCCTTCGCCTGGACACAAACCACAAGATAATTAATTATCACATACATGTAATATAAGCCCTGATTTCCCAATAAGCTGTTATATGTTTGTAAAACATATATACTGTATACTGTAACAAAAAAGAAACGAAAGTTCTAAAATTTTGTTACATATTTTGTATTAAATATATATAGCTGTACCAAAATTGGGGAAATAAAAGTGCACCCTGCCTACACCCCTAACCAATGTTCAAAATCAACTAGGTGTGATGAGAAACCTATGCACATCCGGTGCGGCTAAAATATTAACATATCTGTGCTTCCACAAATATATGCATTCTTTTTCTTTCAAACCAGTATCAGGTTGCATTTCTTTTTCGTTTCTGTATACCCTGTATATGTCCTCAACCTACTTAGACGGAAATGGAGATAAACACCAGGTCTAGTCTAGCAGGGGAAAAAATAGGTCACAGTGACCTACATTTGATATTATGGTGTAGTAATTATCCTCAAGATGTATGCATATAAGGAGTTTGTTGACTGTTTTACTTCTAGAATAAGAGTTTTGGAGCTTAACCAACTGTCTATCCAAGGCAGATCTGAAAGGCAAATACTTAATGTTGCTTCTAATATATGTGGCAGAGACCTAAAAACTTGTACTCAAAACTTTCATCTTGCCAATGCATTAGCGAAGAAATATGAGTGTTTCTCTTCAATTCAATTGCTGTTCATCTAAGAACACACTTCACAAATTATCACAAATTTCAATTCAAATTATTTTTTACGGATTTTTTACGGAAGATATGTTGAGTGGACGCTTGTAAAGAAATGTGCCATCAAATGAATGTCATGTTAAAAAACTTACTGGAATTTCACAGCATTCTCCTTCAGTCTCCGTAATTTTAACATTTCCAAAATGTAGAATTCCAGCCAGAATTTGTAACAGCATCAGCTGGTGTCTCTCGCCAACACCTGTCAAATAAACAAAATTAGTCTTCAACAAAATACAATTCAATACACATTTATTGCCCTTGTGGTAGACGAAAACAAGTCATTGATTCTCCATGATTTCACACTTTCACTCAGATTTTCTCTCGTGAAACATGATTAATTTCAGAGAAACAAGGAATCATTTTTTCCTATCAAAAGGGTCGTAAATATTTCTTTATGCCAAAGTATAAATCAAAGATTGTTTGATTCTTATTTTGAAATCTGGCGGTTATCTGGAACTAAATCATAGGGGGCGTAGTGGTGAATGACGTCAATTTCAGCCAATCATTGGACAGGATTATAGGGAGTTGACGGTCAGCAAATCTAGGATAACAATAGGCTACAAATCTCTGGCTTATGTGTCTCTGGATGTTTTGTCTCTGGATGTTTTGTCTCTGGATGTTTTGTCTCTGGATGTTTTCAATCAGCACCTGGATGAGTGTGGAGGTAAATACCATTTGTCTGTTTAAATTTTCACCTGAACAGGGTGAGTGTTTCAGGTCCTTAGCCTGTGTCCTACATGAAGGTCTGTTTGAAATGTCAGACAAAACAAAATCTCCAATATCAAACTCATCCCGTGTCAATAAATACACTGAGGCTAAATTCTGTTAATGCACTAAACCATGATATCAAAGCGAGTGTATATACTGTTAATCCAGTAACAAACCTAGTAACGTCAGGCCGTATCAAAGCCAGTGTATAAACTGTTAATCCAGTAACAAACCTAGTAATGTCAGGGCGTCTCAAAGCCAATGTATATACTGTTAATCCAGTAACAAACCTAGTAATGTCAGGGCGTCTCAAAGCCAATGTATATACTGTTAATCCAGTAACAAACCTAGTAATGTCAGGGCGTCTCAAAGCCAATGTATATACTGTTAATCCAGTAACAAACCTAGTAACGTCAGGGCGTCTCAAAGCCAGTGTATATACTGTTAATCCAGTAACAAACCTAGTAATGTCAGGGCATCCAAAGCCAGTGTATATACTGTTAATCCAGTAACAAACCTAGTAACGTCAGGGCGTATCAAAGCCAGTGTATAAACTGTTAATCCAGTAACAAACCTAGTAATGTCAGGGCGTCTCAAAGCCAATGTATATACTGTTAATCCAGTAACAAACCTAGTAACGTCAGGGCGTTTCAAAGCGAGTGTATATACTGCTAATCCAGTAACAAACCTAGTTACGTCAGGGCATCCAAAGCGAGTGTATATACTGTTAATCAAGTAACAAACCTAGTAACGTCAGGGCATTTCAAAGCGAGTGTATATACTGTTAATCCAGTAACAAACCTAGTAACATCAGGGCGTCTCAAAGCCAGTGTATATACTGTTAATCCAGTAACAAACCTAGTAACGTCAGGGCATCTCAAAGCCAGTGTATATACTGTTAATCCAGTAACAAACCTAGCAACGTCAGGGCATCCAAAGCTAGTGTATATACTGTTAATCCAGTAACAAACCTAGTAACGTCAGGGCGTCCAAAGTATTGTTCATATTCTCAGCATCGTTCACTCCCTGAATTTCCGGAGCTTGTCCGCAGCTCGTGTAGAAAAAGTCATCAGGGCTCACTGTAAAACATTTATAACAACATCTTAAATTTATTTTGTTACCAGGTTTCCAGCATTTAATGTTTATATTCATAAAGAAATTAGTCTTTAATTTCCAAACGTTAGAATAGTTTTAAAATTTAAGTTGAGAAAAATAAATTGTTGTAGCCAATCACTGGTCAAGGCAGACATCTTGGATTTCAAAACAGCCTGAACAAATGTCTGTTCCTCGGCAATAACCTTCAAACATCCAACACTGAATTTAGTTTACCCACTCTGGACCAGCAGTCTTTTTAAAGGCAAAGTTGACAATGGACAGATGAACAGTGCATAATCTCACTTGGCCTTTTGGCCGACATATGTACTGAACACTTTCACCACTGTTGACCATAATGGACTCATCCAGATCAATGCATGGTAGAGTCTACTCAAGTTACATAGGGGTGAAAGGGTTAATGAAGTAAATCTCTATAAATGTCTAAAAAAAAAACAAGACAAAGGCTCATACTTAGCTGGAACTTCTTAAATTCGGGTCGGTTAGCGGACGCACACAGTTGATAGAACACGTGGTAATTTCGTTCATCAGAAGCTTGGAACACAACTCTGTAAAACACAGGAGACTATTACTATGTTTATATTGGTGATTTATACCTGTATACAATTATTAGGCCTGTCAAACATAGCAGCACAAACTTATATCAAGTCCTTCATAATCCTATTCATTTACTGTCACCGTCTCTCTCAACCATTATAATTTATGTCTCTCTTAACCATTATAATGTTTGACAATAAATCATTCTAGAGGAGACAACTTTGATTCTTTGTTCTAAATGGAAATTTCAAATGTTGTAATTTGGAACTAAAGTTCATAAAATATAATTCAATTATTGTTTGTCATGTACTATCGAGTGCCAATCCTCTGACTTCGGTCCCTGATCCTTGACCTCTTTTACCACTGACTCTTGACCTCTTTCTTTATCACTGAACCTTGACCTCTTTCTTTATCACTGAACCTTGACCTCTTTTTTTATCACGGACCCTTGACCTCTTTCTTTATCACTGAACCTTGACCTCTTTCTCTGCTCTTCTCCCTGAGCTTTTATCTCTATCATCACCTATCATTTGGCCTGTACAATTACTGATCATTTGACATCCATCATTGACCTTTGAACCTCCATTATATTCCTGACTTTTGAACTCTGTTACCACTAACCCTTTGATCTATATCACCTACCTTTTGACCTCTATCACCTACCCCTTGACCTTCATTCCTCACCTTTGACCTCTATCACCTACCTTTTGACCTCTATCACCTACCCCTTGACCTTCATTCCTGAACTTTGACCTCTACCCTCACTTAAGCTTTCGCCTATATATACCCTCTATATTAGTGACCCTTGACCTTAACCTTGACCTGACCTTGACTTCTCTAGGAGGTATGTCCTCATATGTGCGCCGACAATCTCATGTTGTTTGTTGAAGGTGATTTCCAGGTATTTCCCGAACCGACTGCTGTTGTCATTCCTCGTCGTCTTGGCATTGCCGATCGCCTGCGGAACACAAAAACTGGTTATTGATTTTGTAAATAATTCCATTAAGTCAATACAAATTATTTTTAAAATATCAAAATGTCTTGAGAGATTGTAATTTCATGCACTAGTCAACAATTGAAACAAGAGGCCCAATGGGCCTGCATCACTCACCTGGTATAAAACTCACACTTGTAACCTTAGAAGTGATCTAAAATAAAGCTACAGGCAAAATATCAGTATTTATGATTAAAATTCATTCTAAAGACCGTTATTTTTTTTTTAACATTTCACCCCTGTGATTGAAAGTTGAACAAAGTCATTATGTTGAACACATTGTATAGCCTTTCATCTCAGGATGCAACATGCAAAGTATAAACATCCTGGGACCCATGGTTATTCAGAAGAGGTTGTTAAAAGATTTTAAACAAATTTGACCCCTGTGACCTTGAATATAAGTAAAAGTCATTCACTTTAACAAACAAAGTAGTCCTAGATCCCAGCATATGCTACTGACTAAATATCAACATCCTGAGCCTTTTGGTTATTCAGAACAAGTTGTTGAAATATTTTGAACATATTTGCTCCTTGTGACCTTGAATATGATTCAAGGTAATACGTTTATACAGACTTGGCAGCCCTTGATCCTAGTATGCTACTGATTTAATATCATTTCCCTGGGCATTTTGGTTATTCAGAAGTTTTTAACATATTTGACCCCTGTGACCTTGAATTTGGGTGAAGGTCATGCATTTGAAAAAACTTTGTAGCCCTTCATCTCAGCATGCTACTGGCCAAATATCATCACCCTGTGCATTTTGGTTAGTCAGAAGAAGTTGTTGAATGTTTTACACATATTTGACCCCTGTGACCATGAATATAGATGTAGGTCATTCATTTGAACACACTTTGTAGCCCTTCATGTCGACTAGCTACTGGCCAAATATCATTAACCTGGGCATTTTGGTTATTCAGAAGAAGTTGTTTAAAGTTTTTAAACATATTTGACCCCTGTGACCTTGAATATGGGTGAAGGTCATTCATTTGAACAAACTTTGTAGCCCTTCATCCCAGCATGCTACTGGCCAAATATCATCAACCTCTGTATTTTGGTTATTGAGAAGAAGTTGTTTAAAGGTTTTTTAATACAATTGACCCCTGTGCCCTTGAATATAATTGAAGGTCATTCATTTGAACACACTTGGTAGCCCTTCACCCAAGCATGCTACTGGCCAAATATCAACTCCCTGGGCATTTTGGTTATTGAGAAGAAGATGTTTAAAGTTTTTTACATGTTTGACCCCTGTGACCTTGAAAATAGGTGAAGGTCATTAATTTTAACAAACTTTGTAGCCCTTCATCCAAGTTTGCTTCTGGCCAAATATCGACACCCTAGGCCTTTCGGTTATTAAGAAGAAGTCGTTTAAAGTAAAATATTGACGCCGGACGCCGGACGGGCGGACGCCGGACGGACGACCGGACGACGGACGGGCGGACGACGGACGGACGGACGGACGACCGGACGATGGACGACGGACGCCGCGCCACGGCATAAGCTCACTTGGCATTTCGTGCCAGGTGAGCTAAAAAAATAGAAGCAAACAATTATTTTAAAAGTCCACTGACTTTGATTGTACAATTTTATGGAAAAACTGTCAATTTTATAGAACTGCAATTAACTCATTCACCCCTGAAATTCCTAATGACCTATTCCAACCTTTGAATTGGAAGGGTTCAAATGTGTCTTCAGGGGTTAATGAGTTTAAGCTTAGACAATGAAACCAATGACACATCTCATATACCTGTAAAGAGTGCTAAGCCAACAGGGTATACACACTGTGGTAGACATGAACAGTAGGTAGTTAGTTTAAAAATAACAGCAAAGTGAAATATTTGGCATATTAATTTTAACAAGCAAGAGGGTGAAACAATGGGTGGCTTCACAATGTTACAATTCTATGTAACATACATTAAGTCTCTGTCCAGACCCATTCCTTCTTACCTCCATGATCGGGTTAGAGGCTAACACTCTCTGCTCTACCATGGTCTCGGCCTGCGAGCCTCCAACAGTCGCGAAATACCTCATTGCGTACTTCGCTGACACGGTTTTTCCAGCCCCTGACTCTCCCGAAACAATAATCGACTCGTTCCTGTCAAACCTGGCAAAAAGTAAATGACATATTATCGTACTGTATCTACCTTATAAAATTCACAACATTCATAGACTCATTTAATATAACCTAGGCATTTGTAATGTAACTTGTAACCTCAAATAGTATATAAGTGACTCCAAACAACCTATCCACCCTTACACTTTGTGCTCTGACCTTGAACTTTAACACGTTGACCTCTGACCCTGAATAATATGTCTATGCCTTGATCTTGTTTTTTTTAATTTTTATTGAGTAAACTTGAGTTTGTGATCTTCAAGTCTATAATACGATATTTATTTTATATAATTTCATACTTTTGTAACTCTACAATATAACTAAACACTCACTTGATCCATGAGTCTTCAAAGTAATGTTTGGAACTGGATTACAAACCAGAACTTTGACCTTTATATCATAATCTTAAGACCTTATATTCTAACCTCAATGTATCTATATCTTGTAAACTTCACATTTCACCTTCTTGCATAAATTGCATCTTGACCTACATATTGTAACTTTGACCCTCAGAATTTAGCTTTACCTTCATAATGTTACTGCGACCTTCATCTTTTAACTTTGACCTTCATATTCTGATTTTTTTTTACCATGAAATCTTTGTAATCTATACAAACTCTTTAAGACTATCTTAATAATAATAATTCGAGGTTCTCATTATAACCTAGGTCAAAGGTTATCTCAAAGCGGCTCACAAATTATCATCTGTTACCGGTAATTGGGTCATTGCAACCAGCCAAGATCTTTCTCAACTCCCTGGAAACTTGTGACCTTGACCTTAAAGTTGTTGACTCCTGTACTGACCTTGACATGTGTTTGTAGGCCTCCTCAGCGACGGCGAAGATATGGGGGTCCATGGCGCCCATGTCCTGTCCGCTGTAAGCCTGGATGATGTCATTGCTGTAGATGTTCACTTCCTCGTAGGGATTGATGGCCACCAACACGATACCTAGACAACGAGCACAATTCTGATTACATAGATACAAGTGTCTCAAATTAATAATTGTGACCAATAAGTGAATCATTTTCAAGTCTTTCAGCATTGCAGCCTGTCTGTGTAGCACATTGAAGCTTTTCTCTTTTTTTTAATTTGAGTTTTCCTTTATTTACATAATATTATGGAATTTCACATTAAGGCGGAAAGAAAAATGTACAGCTCTCACTGGAAACCAGGCAACACACTGTTTAATTTAAGTTCCTGTAAGCAATCATGTTTAAGAAATGCACAATCATACATCTGATCATTTTCTTCTGATAATGAGCTATGCAAACTAATTCCCCAGTATTAAATTGATGGACATTTCTCAGTTTGCATTGAGATATTAATGGTAACCAGGAAATGAATGACCTTGACCCATCCGTGACCTTTACAAAGACTTACCACAGTACGTGTAGATGATGTTTCTATCTGCAAATCTGACCTGCAGGTTATACAGCACTACAACAGAAAGTCAGGATAGTATAAAAGTTGCACCCCAGACTAGAATGTTATAAATAAATTCATGTCCATTGCTGTCCCCTGGTGAAACCCTGAATGACCTTAAAGGGGCAGATAACCCTGATTTTAACAAAGAATAATCTTAAACATTAGAAATCCTGCTCACTGTATTGTATGTTTAAAACTTTCCAGCTCTATATAGTCGATGCGGTTATATATAATATGTTTTATAATTTCAATGTTTGTCATATTCCTTATTCGTACATCAACTATGTTGTTTTATCATATATTAACAAGAGCACCGCAAACGGACGCATAATACACCCGTCTGACCCTATCCTATGATGTTTTGTTTGTTTGATATTTAAAGTACCTGGTAGCCAGTGTCATGTCTATGTGATAAAAATGCTTGCACTGATGCTTTTGTTACCAAGAGTGATTGTCATCACTGTAATGTTCACATTGATGTAATTGGTTCTTTGCTAATGTACCACCTAATGCCTCTTAGTCAGGGCATGCAGTAGACCCAAAAAGGTGAAGTCCAAATTTTACAAAAATAGAAATTATTTTCTCAAATTAAATGCATATTGTCCTTGTTAGACCCCACATGAACATCCATGCCAAAAATTAGGACAACATCACATGATCTGACTGAACTGTACACCACTGAAGAAACTTGCACCAAAACTTTAACCGAGAAATTGTGCAAGAAAAGTTAAGTCCCGAACACGTCCAAAACGTCGACGAGCATGTAATTAAAAATAGAACTTGCCAATAGATTGTTTTCGTAGGACTGATTTTTGCAAGTTCACCCACTGGTTGTGACAAACGAAAATATTTTGATTAACGTATCAATTGCATACCTTCTTGGTTTGTTAATGTAACTTAGAAATGTGAAGTTGTTTGATCGTCAAGGTAACTGAGAATGGTGAGATTGTTTTACCTTCTGGTTCGTTAATGTAACTAAGAAATGTGGAGTTGTTTGATCGTCAAGGTAACTGAGAGAGGTGAGATTGTTTTACCTTCTGGTTCGTTAAGGTAACTGAGAAATGTGGAGTTGTTTGATCGTCAAAGTAACTGAGAGAGGTGAGATTGTTTTACCTTCTGGTTCGTTAAGGTAACTGAGAAAGGTGAGATTGTTTTACCTTCTGGTTCGTTAAGGTAACTGAGAGAGGTCAGGTCGTTTTCTCCGATGAGGATGTCAGGATTTCGTAAATGTGGAAGTTTGGTTTTATCTTTGATTTCCAGTACAGATTCCTGTAAACAAGATAACATAAAATCAATTAACTTACATATTTATATAAAACATTCCCTAAGCAACAGCTAAGGTCATGTGAAGACGGGTACCTTGGAAGACACCGTCAAAAAATGAGTAGCGAAGTGAGAAAATAAAATAATTTATCACAATAAAGATCCCATGTGTTCCAATGGGGGCAGGAAAGCATTCATGGTTTCTTCTCTTTCACCTAAACAGAACACACAGAATCGAAGAAAACCCCGATTCTGCAGGGGGCCCCACTTTTGTTGCCTTTTATGCATTCGTTAATGCAGTGGGAATACAGAAGGCCTATCGAACCTGCGTGGGTAAAGCTATGTAATATAAATGCAAGCGCCAGAGCAGAAATATACTAAATATAATACATTGTGTATGTATATGAAATATATCAGTCTGTTTACACTATGTGTAGATTTTCAATTGAAGTCAGTTTCAGTCAACATTATATAAAGTAATTATGCCAAATATATTTATGTCAGCGATATGTTTTCTGAAATTTGGAGGAATATTTTCTCTCTATCTATTAATTAATTATTATAAATAAATGTTAAACAAAGCAATCATGCCAAATATTTATGTCAGCGACATTTTTCTAAAATACTGTTGTACTTTGTTTTGCAAGAATTTGATTTTTTCCTCCACCTATTTATATAGGTTAAGATAATTTGCGATGATGGCCGACAAGTGTGACAACTTTTCCATCAGCCCCCAGTTTAGACTACAGTATATAGCCCACATGACAGGGGTTCTGTGTAATGATAAGTGACAGATCTGGAGCTTCCTGCTCAGCAAACAACAAACTACATTACTACCCACACATACAAAGGTCCATGTCGTTTTACAACACTCATTCTACAAAAACGTTTCAACTTCAACGACAACCACAGTGTACCACACTCATTCTAATAAAACTTAAGTGCTGGGAGCCTGACCCGATTCTTGACAGCTTAACAACCATTGTAATGTATAGAAATACATTATAGAATTTGATATACACTGTAATATTGATCCATGAATAGGAAAAACTAAAATTAAATCATTGCCGGCTTACATGCAAAAAAAAATTCTAGCGTACGTGCTACCTGAAACACACATATTATTTGTTTTGGATCAAGACAACAGTAAGAGTAAATGACCATATGAATGAGAATGAGTGAATTCTATGTAAAATTAACTTTCTTACAGTAAGATTGGGGTCTGATCCCCGAATTTTCATTTCTAGTCACAAATAATAGCTCTATTGTTCATAGCATCTGAAGTATCATACCACACACTTTATCACCAGTGTTTTTTCTAATTAAATTTTACAATAGCCTGATTATATTTTTTGTTTTGGCCCAAGACTTCAGTAAGAGTAAATGATACTTTGAATGAGAATGAGTGTATTCTATGTAAAATCAACTTTCTAACAGTAAGATCTCGGGATCACACACACAATATCACCAGTGTTTTCTCTAAAGAAATTTTATAACAACCTGTTTATACATTATTTGGGAAAATATAGAAATATTTTCAACGAAATTGCAGGATATCTCTCATTTTTGCTTCATAAGGGAAAATACAGCATTTTTTGCTAGAGAAAGCAGCCTGTATTTGGTTGTAAAAGTTGGCAAAAAAATTGCTAATCACATTAGGAATGATCGTCACATCTTACTGCCGTTGAGCTGACTCCAATATGAACGAATGAAGTCTAGCCAGCTCCAAGGAATACTAAACAGACGCCTCCGACTGACACAATCAAATATCAATGTTAGATAAGGACACGTCTGGAATAACAACACTTATAATTGACGTTGAGATGATTATGCCATTTACATAATTTATTTATATATAACAGGCTGTGAGGTGTTCACTGATACATCAGAAATACAACACATGATTACATCTTACAAGTGCTGATAGCAGTTTTATTGTGCAGTCTCCATGGTTGTGCTTCACCTGAGGGTGGACCTAGCTACGGTGGTGTACTTAACCACTGATTTTTCTTAATCCTTTCTAATGGACTGTGCCTTTTCAATTAGGAAAATATTCCTGCATTTTCAGGAAAATTTGGAATTTATATTTTCTGAAAACTTTTTTTTTTAAATTGTAGTATCTAAAAAGTAGTTCAATATTTGGTAATGAAAACAAAAAGTAATCATTATTCAGATCTCTTTTTTTTCAAAACAATGATCAACAACCTGTTGAATCGGTGTTGTCTCCTGACTTAACAATAACATACATTTCTGCTTTGCATGTATAACCAATGCAAAAGTCCAACTTTTTTCAAAACTCATGGAGAAAACACTGCACAATATAAGTTTATGGCTAGAATACTTTGAATGTTATTTTTCAAATTAAGAAATTTTATTTTATTTGTATCATAAAAAATACATCGTTAAATTTCAGATGGGATATATGTCAAATTAAGGGGGTGGGGATCAGGGCGGTAAGTAATACATATAGGGGGAAAAGAAAATCGGTTCTGTAAACTGTATTACACATGTGCAATAACTCTTCCCACTCAAACAGATATCCTGTAGGACTCCCAGTAAATTAACCTCAGTCGTACAAAGCATTGTGATGATGTGTATTATCAAGATGAAAAATATGTCATATTTTGTGGTGAGAGTTTTTTGTATAGGGGGGAAAGAAAAAAATCTGTTAATTTAGTTGTAATACACATGTGGGTCTAATCCAGGCTATTCCCACACAAGCAGATATTGTGTACAACTCTCCGTAAATTAGCCTCAGTGACTCATATCTATCACTGTGATAATGTGTATTATCAAGTGATCGGTCAGTGGACACAACTTATTTTACCTGTTGATGAGATATATATTACTACCTGTTTATCGAGCAATTTACCTGCAGTCGGCCAACTGTCACAGGTGAACGATTGCAGAGATAGCTCTATTATGATCTCTCAATAGAACTGACCGTTGCCCACTATAACTGTACTGACTGACCAGTATTGACCATTACAAACACAAATGTATGTACCAGGTACTATAAAGTCCAATTAGATCTTTGCTGACATTTATGGTCAGTAGTAACAGCCCTAGTTAGTACAGCACTATACAGAACACTGTTATTCGACTGATGGTCACCAGCACATACTAAAGTCTACACAAACATATTTATTTCCAGTAAATTGCCAAACATTTAATGTCCACACATTCATTTCTCATTAAGGAGCAGTAAAGTTGCATCTGGGTTTCGTACTCCAAAATCCATTGTTTTGCCAACGTTCGCCCACAATTTCAATTGACTGATCCCCTCAACAATTTCAAAATAGCTCAATTAATGAAAACGTTTTTGCAGAAAAAATTAGAGCAAGCGGCAATGTTTTTGAGGAATATTAGAGCAATTGACTGAAAGATAATGTTACGACACCTGATTCACTACAACAGCAACAGTATGGCCGACATCTTGGTGGTTTGAATTCAACTTATTCCTGAGAGGTCTGCAGTAGGACAATTAGAGGCTAACAGTAACTAGGGAAGGGTTAGCTTATTGAATTACTATATCAGTACAGTATGTTTGTAAAGACAGTGTATATGTGTAGATGTACTTCATGGAGTTTGTTATTTTCAGTTGGTATTCATATAGATTATATATTGAATGCCAACTTAAAGTAGTTCAGTTATTACTTATCCTTGTATAGGTCCTTACTCTACAACACACAAATCAGAATATCATCAGACATACATAAAGAATATGGTCGGTCTAATGCCCCCCNACTCTTACCACCAATGGTATTTAGAGACTCACTCCAGTACTGACATGTATATATAGTGTAAGTTTTGTATCTTATCAGCTCATACCAACAGGAAAACTCTCTTGATAGGTTTGTAATTTTCTTTGTTTATAGGGAAAGTCACGCATAGGTTGTACACCATCAATGTTAAACATCTAAAACATCATGGCTCTGGTGTTATATAAAAGCATTGTCAGCTTAATTAAAATATTATTTCCATTTTTATATCTTTTCCCAGTAATTTTTAGTTGATCTTATTAAAATTACAAATTTTGCAATCAATTTCATTAATTTATCTGTGCCTGAAATTTTCGTCTTTTTTTCTCACTTTTATAAAGCATCTGTAAGACAAATCTAAAACTGATGTTATATTCTGCTGTACATATAAGTAATATTGACACGAAAATATTGAAGTATCACTGGAAATTTGGCAAGATTGTGGATCCAAACATATTTGTAGATCAAACCTGGCTACATGCCCTGGAATAAAGACATTGTTGGCGTGTATAAGTATATCAAGGAATCCTGAATTCATATCTTCCTTCATCTAATCGTAAGTGTATTCAATGCTTTACATGATTGGAAAATGCCTCCGATGCATTACGGTTTGGTTTGGTCCATTTGTTCTTTACGTCCTATTAACAGCTATGGTCATAAGGATGGGCCAAGTTTTGGTGTTGGAGGAAACCCAGAATACCTGAAGAAAAACCACAGACTTGCAACAATAGCACTTGGCGATTGCCCCACGCAGATGTAGGCCTTGAACCCTGACCCAGTGATGTTTAGGCCAAGAGATGCTCCATACTACAAATTAAAATTAGTCAAAATCTTTTCAGCCTTTCTAGACAAGAGATGTTTGAAAGTGAAACGTTGATACCGGCCTGACAGATGCCCCACCATAGCAAAAGATCATGTGTTTCTTTTTGTGTCACACAATCTAAAACCTGTCAAGAAACTCTTAGGAATGAAAAGGTCAAACATGTAAAGAGGAAAATTGCCATAAAAGTCTCACCTCCTTTGGCTTACTAAGATAATTACGCTTTAAACAAAGTGCCTAGGTGGTCAGATGATGGTGTAACATAACAAGTTATATTATACAATCATATAAACAAAGACACACATACTTTAAACTCGTAGATCAGTGTGCATATAACAGTGACTCATTTAACATGAATAATGTAACGCATTGTCCAATGAAAGGAAGAATCCTGTATGAAGAAATATTTCTCTTATTTGCACAAA